CGGCCCTTTTCAGGGCCACCAAATCATTTTTATGAAGAATTTAAAAACAATCAAACTGTGAATCATTCTGTTTTCTTCTGCAACATAACGGTATTTGTTCCAGAATTCATTTAAACAACAGTAAATCATTTTTGCGGTTACATTTCACAATATGCATTGAGTGGTTGGATTAAAATTGTAGAAAAATGAGAATTTCACAAGAAAGTTATTTCTAAAAACAGTTTCGTGAAGAGAACCGTAAAGCAATTAGTCTCATTTAATTTTAAGTTAAAAGTTGAAGCCGACGGATTTTTATTATTATTTATTTATGTACGGCGAACGGTAACAATATCACGCTTTACCAAAAATGCAGCTTCGCACATGATAACCAATTTAGCAAAAAATCATGACATGAATTTCATGGCCTTCGAAATGAAACAAAATGAAAAGGGATATTTTCAGTGTTTATGCGCTATAATGCAATTATTTTATTTCAAAAATGTAAACCTAACTACTTCTCAAATAAAATTATATCTGCGATAAATGTAAGTAAGATGATCAAAAATTCTTTTAAATTTATACATTTGTGGCTCTAAGAGCCGTTTTTTGTTGGAAATTAGTTGCATCTCCACTTAAAAACGTTCGCCACGGATACGACGAGCTAATTGCATATCTTTTGGCATGATTGTGACGCGTTTGGAGTGGATGGCGCACAAGTTGGTGTCCTCGAACAAGCCGACCAAGTATGCTTCACTGGCTTCTTGCAAAGCGAGAACGGCCGAGCTCTGGAAACGCAAATCGGTCATGACATCTTGGGCGATTTCACGAACCAACCGTTGGAATGGCGACTTGCGTATCAACAATTCGGTCGACTTCTGGTAACGACGAATCTCACGGAGAGCAACTGTTCCTGGACGGTAACGATGTGGCCTTTTCACACCTCTGGTGGCTGGACAAGTTATCCTAGTGTATTTACTGCCGATTTGTCTGCGAGGTGTCATTTCACTTATTAATCTACGACGGGGGAGACCGAGGCGACCGATCATCCGCGGTGCCTTTCCACCAGTTGATTTACGAGCAGTTTGCTTGGTACGGACCATTGCTTCTACTTCTTCTTCTTTTTCTTTTTACTTTCGATGCTTACTCAACGAGAGACAAACACGGAATGAATAATCACGCGCGGACGTTTGCGCCCCATTTATACTTTTTGGCGCAAAATCGTCGGAGATGTCATCGAAAAGAGATATTTTGTGCAATGCTACATACACCGAGCACGTCAAGCGAAAGACAGTCACCGTTATGGATATTGTCTATGTATTGAAACGCCAAGGCCGCACATTGTATGGTTTCGAAAATTAAATTTATCCCGTCATATAAAAAAATCACAACAAAATAGGCTCTCTTCAGAGCCACCAAATCATATTTAAAACAACTTTGGAAATCAATTTGCTATGTTGCGAAATATCCAAATGTTTGATAAGAACAAGAAAACAGCAGAACAAAGTAGAATCAGGTGAGTTTCATCAGCTACAACTTTTGGTTAATATTTCCATAGTTCTATGGGAGACACCGTCACTTTTCTTCAATCATAATATTCTATGAAATCATAAGTCTCGTCAAACATCATAAATTAAAAATGTACAACAAAGTAATCATTGAGTTTGGCAAAAAATCATCTCTTTTCATTATAAGCGTTTTATGTGCCTAATCAAAGTGAAGTTGGTTGCTCAATACAGTCAATGGTTTGACATTTGTTGATAACCGAACAATTCCACAGATAACACAACGAAATCAATACTAACGAGAAACGCAAATAAATCTTCTTTATTTCGTTTGATACCTTCCAATGATTTCATTTAATTCTCATTGTGAACTTATTTGCTCCAAATAACTCTATTTAAATGCTAATATTCTTATTTGTCTATCGATAAATGCTTCTTTGAGTGGCGGAACTTATCTAAAATTTAAGTATTTCTAAATATTCATTGCATTTGTTGGGTAAATCCAATTCATTCATAAACCAAAACTTCTTCTTTGAGCGTCAACAAGAGTAAGTAAATGGAAATGAATGTCAAGCAACCGGCAACGATTCCAGAGACAAGGCCAGGCCATCGGCGAAAAATGATCATGATAAAAATGATAGTGGACAACACCAGCATCACACCAAACGGCACCAAGGCGCTCATGTGCAAACGACGATTTTCAAAATGATTGATAAACTTAGGAAAACTGGCAAAAAAAGAAACCAATATAATGAGTGCTAGGGAAAAAACGATTGCAAAATACGTGAATTTACTTGACGGGAAGTTCGTCGGCTGGATCTTCCGGCCAAATGAAGTTGGCACGACGAATATTTGGGTCGGACAATTTTTCAACAATTGCAGCCGACTCATTTCGAATGCCATCAGTGGACGAGTTGATTGTTACACGCATCGCCGAGTTGATAACTGAATTAACGGCCGGTCTCATTGTCCTGTATGCACTAAATCGACTTTCTGAATTGAACACTCCTAATAACGAAGATAAAAACTTATTCGTTGGTAAATTTTGTATATTTTGATTGTGATTTAGTTTCATATTTTCACGACTGCGCTCGCGATTTAATAGCCAACTTTGAATATCAAAGAATGAGCGAAATTTGAAGATCAACTGCAATTATTCTAAATTGAAACAAAAATTGATTCAATTCTAAAAATAAATGTGGAAAAACCAAATCTTACACACTACACTTTCCGTTCAATGAAAATTCGTTGAGCAAATGTCCTGCATTGAATTCGTCTGATGATTCTGTGTTGCTTATTGATATGCATCGTATTTTTGTTTTCATCTCGAAATTCAGAAGAAAAAAATAAACGAATTATCTGCAATCCGATGAATGCCATCCGTACAATGTTAACACAGTATACACGTACTTTTGTTGAGATATACAATCAAACGGCTGGTACGGGCAATAGACGGGTATTGTAAGTTACTGATAACTTTTATTCATTAGTCGGCATACAACACATACTTACATTGATAAGAGAGATGAGCGTTTTGCCTTGTTTTATACACACCTACTAGCAGAGCAGAGAGCAATGTGTTCAATTCAGCAATACTTACCAATGTAATTAAGCATACGTCAAAATAGCTCAAATATGAGCAAACGGAGACTGAAATCGTTGAAGAAACATAAAATACACTGATTTCTTCTCTAAATTAAAGGCTTAATTCAATTTGGTTTACAAAACCAAAATGGATTGGAAGAGAATTTGACTGAATGTTTTTTTTTTCTTCCACAAAAGTAAAAAGAGGTAGAATAAAATATAAAAATAGTTCTAATGGATTGAATAGCGAAGAAATAGCATCTAAAAAAACAGATTTGGATTTAGAAAAAAATAAAACAGTTCTAAAATCAGATGAATGTATTCTTTGGCTCATTATGAATGGCGTCCAGACTTAATGAATAGAGTAGAAGTAGGTTAGAAAGAGAAAATTATGTTGTCTCTAGACAATAATCTTCGGTTAGCCTAATGAATGCTATATATATATATACACACCCTTTTGTACTGACAATATAATGGAATCTCCTGCTTAGACTCAGAACGGCTTTCACATTAAAACCGTGCAAACTTTATTCAAATAATTTAAAAATTGTCTTTCATCAATATCAAAAACGTGTTGGTATGTTGATCGCTTGATTAATCACTATTTGTTTCGAAAAGCAAAAACCGTAATTCCTGGTATTCTAAGTAATTTCAATGCAATTTCAACCAGTTTTTAGTCATTTCACGTAAAATCTAAATTAAAGCTAGTATAAAGTAGTACCAAAAATGAAATTCAATGACTTAAATCTCGTATGTTTTTCAACTCGACGAAACTCGATTGATTTTTTGAGGAAAACGAAAACCAAATGAAATAGATTTAATATCTAACGTTAACAAATGGCAAAAATTTCAGATTTTGGAATTTAATAATTAGGCTTTTCCGTTGAAATTCCCATTGGAACCGTTGTCACGTGAGCCTTTGCTGGGTAAAAAACTTTTGCTCGGCATCGGACTCAAGGGTTCGCCCCAGAATTTCATGGCGGAAAATAGTTTGAAATAGGCCACTCGATAGGTTCGATTGCTCGCCGCATAGATGAATGGATTGATGACACTCGATGCCCAAGCAAGTACTGAAGCGACCGTATTTAGCCACGGATACTGATGCTTGTCATCGAAAATGTTGACAATACTCAATGGCAGGAAACATAACACGAAACAGATAAAGATGGTCAACATCATGGCCGTCAAGCGGCTATCTTCACGTTCACGTGCAGCTGGCAAACCCATTGATTTGGATGATGCTGTGGCACTTGTGATCGCCGCACTGTTGCAGATGTGTTTGTTTAACTTTTGTCGTTGCTTTCGGACCGTGTAGTAAATGCACGAGTATGAAATAATGATGACACTGCAGGGAAGTAGGAAACAGACAACAAACAGGAATTTCTTAATTGATCTGCCATCTTTTTTGAGTATTGTACATGAGAATGTCTGCTCATCCAGGCCAAGCGTTCCCCAAACACCCAGGATCGGCGGCACCATTGTCAAAAAGGCGATGAACCACACTAAAAATAATTGCAATGCAATTATGTGCGGTCGATAAAAGCGAGTGTACAGGTGATGATGTGCGATTAAAATGTATCTAGAGAAGGGAATGAAAACAGAGGATTAGAAATGAATTCGAATAAAAATCGTAGAGAGAAATTACCTGTTTAATGTGATCCCAACCATACTTAGTAGACTGACGGCCACATTTGAGTAGAAAATCACTGGAAATATTTTACAGAGTGTTTCTCCTAGCGTCCACGCCTGAAACCGGAATTTTAATCGGATTAGAACAGTTTAGAAAAAAATTTACACATAAATTATTGACCATAATTTGATTCGAAAAGAAAAGACATTCAATGGAAAAAAATCTGTTTATTTGGCAAAATGAAATTGCTCTAGATAATTTTGAGATAGTAAAAAATATCAATCGAATCTCGACTCCATTTATTGAATTCTCACCTTATTTATGTATCGAACCGCTGTCAGTGGCATACTAAAGGAACAGAACAGCAAATCGGATATGCATAGCGATAGCACAAAAGCAGTGGTTGCATGTCCTCGCAGTTTTTGATGTTGAAGCAGCGCAATGATCGTAATGAGATTGCCTGTGTGTTACGATAGAAGAAAAAGGCACAATTAAACACAAGTAAATATTTAAAGAGTCAAGAAAATGAACATAAACAGTGAAGAGCCGAGGCGGGAAAAAACAATTATCTAATCGAAGGAAAAAGAAAAGAGTTGAGTATAAACAAAAAATTTGGTCCAATGTTAATATTGTTCAACTCTTGTGCGTTTTTATTTCAAATACACAATTACCCGCAATGCCGACAACGACGAAGACGCATGCGCATATGGCCGCAAATATGGTGGCTGAGTTTGGATACACTATCGGAGTCATGGTAGTATTCTGAAATTAAACAGAAAGAAAAAGAGAAGAAATGAGAAAACCAAATCCATTGGAACAGACGAAACAAAGGCAATGATTGTTACAATTCAAGAACAGATATCTTTGTGTTGCTTGAGTGCACAACTCAAACAGATACAAAAATCAAGCGTCTCTCAAAACAAATGTCCCATGAAAAACGTGTTTGTTTAAAAAGCAGCCGCAAAAAGATGCGACAAAGTAGAGGCGAAAATAAATATTTGGAGAGAATAATGCCATATTGAAAACTGTTTACAATTGATGATGCGCTTTTATGATATATCCTGTGCCCAAACATATACAGTGTTCATCTGCGTTCATTTTGATTTTTGAAAATTTGGTCGATTCGTCATGCAGAGCAAGTGCAAATGAACAGAAACGATCAACGGTTCTCAAAACAGCAACAGTGAAAAGTAATTTTGTTATTTAATTACTCAGTTTGAATTGGTTCTCATGAAGCAATCAACGAAAACAATGACTTGCAGTGAAAATGCACTTTGAATGAGCAATGAGCATGTATGTTATTAGAACGGAGTTAGAAGAGGTCACAAACACACGGACAAGCGTTGAAAGCAACTACAAACATGTTTGTTTTTGAGTCGAAACTAATTGCGGTTTAGTCAGCCGGAATGTGCGTGATAAACGATCTCATGCATGTAACATGCTGTCTAATGTGTGTAGGTCCCTTTTTTTCATTTTTATTTTGGTTCGTTGCTTTTAACCGCTTCGTAGTAGTTTGGCATTGCTAAGGTTTCGCGCTATTTTTACTATGCACTTCAAATTTTTTTTTCGGCTGGACAGTTGGCAGTTGTATGATCGAGAAACAATTAGAAAATGCTTCGCATGAATATGCACATTTCGTTTAAGCCGCAAAGTCTTAGAGCAAATGCCCGTTTATCCTCTTTTTAACAGACTATTAAAATCGCATAAATTACGTTCTAACCAAGCAGCTTGACTGAGACGCAACAAATTTTGCGATCTCTTAACGTGTGAAACATCGTTTTATTGCGTCCGCCATAAAAGCAACTAATGAAATTTTCGCTAAATTTATCTTTTTGTATCGCAAAAACGGATTTTCGAACTAATGTCAGATGAGGATGTTTTCGTTTGAATCGCAAACCACTTGTGTGTATGATGCTGAAGAGGTTATCATAAAAATCGTGTCGTGTGTGTGTATGTTTTACGTGAAACGACTGTGTGTTTAAGCGACTTGTATTCTCCGTGAAAATGCATAAAACTGGCGGCACAGCAACAACATTCATCATAAGCTCCTAAGAATCCGTATCAATCAGAGACACAGCAGCCAGAATCGATAAACACTTCTGTTGCGATCGCATATGTTTACAATCATCTGTGGCAAATTACGATACCGTTTTTTTTCGATCTAATTGACCCCACTCATTCTGTACACACGGTATAAATCAAATCAATGTGCATCCATTGCGCAGTTCTGCGAGTAAATTAGATTCGAAATGATTTGCTTTTTTCTCGGTTCGATTTCGATTTTCCACGTGTATTTAGCCCTGTTGTTATTTACATACGCTACAATTGACGTCATACATCATGAGTAAAGTGACTGTGAATATCAAAGATAAAACTTTCAATACGGCCACTGAAAATCAATGGGATACCAAAAGGCGATTAAAAATAGCCAAATCTCACTTGATTTGCCCATCAAAAATAGCATGAAGTTCAATGAAATTGCACAAAAACGCTGAACCAGACGAAAAACAGACGAGCACAAATTGTGTCGACGCTAAATGGCCCCCCGATCGCTTTTCCTATCTGATCGATTTATTTCATCGAAAATTATACTCGTACGATGATCATCAGCGCGCTTCAAGTAAAGATTTATAAAGGCCGTTAGAGTGAAAATTGCCACATCCAGAAAATATTGAGACTGAAATGTAAATAACTATGGGAGTATTTACTTGGAATCCATTTGTATATTTATTTTTGGTTGTGTGCAAAAGATGAAAAAAAACTCGATTGAAAAACGCCAGGGAACAGCATTTGCACTCTTCTCAAATAAGCAGGGACTCTTTTGAATGAATCTTTCAACAAATTAACCGTGTTCTATGGAGAAGTATAGCAATATTTTGTATTCAAAATATTATTTTTACTTTTTGGTCTTTATTTTTTAGAAGAAAAAACCAAAAAATGTTTTTTTAATAAGTATTAAATTCAACAAGCACGCATATTACGCATGCGCACTGTTGTGCTACTTTGATTGTTTCATATATTTTGGTCTGCCTGTGTAATTGTAATACATTGATTGGTCATTTGAGAAGAGTGCAAATGTTGTTCCCTGAAAAACGCTAATGGATTTTTCTAAATAAAATTGAACCAAATTACGCACAATGTTGATTTAGTATATAAATCGTTGATTGACTCACGTCGACTTCATAGAAACTTTCAACGAAACCCTGTACGTATTATGCCAGAGTTAAACATGTACGTTTTGTTTCATTCTACGAATCAACCAAATAATGTAATATCTTTTCTCTGTTCGTTTTTAAAAAAAATCAAGAAATCAGTTGGAACTTTCTTTCGATTCAATTATTCATAAAATGTGTCATCTGCCATTCAAAATTCTAATGTTACTGCGGTCACAATCTATTTATTATTTCTTTTTCAAGTTTCAATCGTTTGACTAGATAGACTAGCAATTTATCATTTCTTCTTCATTTTTGTGGTTTTATTAAAATTAATTTAATCAATTCGATTGTGTCGAAGAAATCCTTCTGGTCTAAAAATGGCTCTGTTTATATATGGAGAAATCTTTGAATCCGAATGTGATTGAATACGTTAAATCCAATGAATAAATATCTTGAAAGTGACTTGAGTAAATCGTTACGAATGATCAACGCCGCTTCAGCCGAAATTGCTTTTGGATTATGGCGCTTCAAATGCGGTGTATACACAATAATAAATCACGCCACATTTTGAACGTCCGATTTTTATTCATCTTTTGAATTTTACGACGTTCAAACACTCTGATATAATCGCATTGAATGGTGAGTTAATAAAAACGTGACGATTTAAAACTTAAATGAAACGTGATCACAATTGTGTATTAATGCCTAGCATAAGTGAACGAGACATCGTTTGCCTGGAGCCTATGGACGTCGTCTATACACTCTGAACAAGCCTCAATTATGCATGCATTCACTCGACTCAATGTCACTTCCACAGTCCAAGTAAGGAATCGAATTAACGCTGATCGGAACAACTCTATCGATTGAGTGTATGTGTAATGAAATGAGATTTGTCGATAGACATTGTAATTTGCGACTAGCGATTTGCAGATAAATAATTGTGATTATGTAATTTAAGTGCCATATTGGGCTGTGAGCATAAAATTTTATATCAACGATTTTTTTTTTTCACTCCATACAGATTTCTGAAGATTCTTGTCATAGATTAAAATGTTATGAAATCTCAAAAATGTTAGTCAATTCCCAAGTGACACAATTTCACTTGACTGGTTTTTTTTCTAACTTTCAACTAGAATTTTCAATATAGTATCAAGTTCCTGCCTATTCGTTCTAAACCGATGCCATTCCAGCGATAAGTATTTATCTGCATTTGTTTTTCGTCCACAACGAAACACTTTTTTTCTTGGAAAAAATTGCCCAAAAATCTTTTTTTTTACAGTAAGTCATTATGTGACATGTACTTAGCCGTGTCCTAATCTGTTTTCAAAGCGTTCAGAAATGAATTTCGGTCGATAATGCATTTCAAATGAAGTAACTGAATGGTCACAAAAGACCGGAAACATGTTCGGAATGCTATCAATATTCAATTTTTCGAACATTGTTTCAAAACACCACAACTATCAATCGGACGAGTGTCACCTACAAAAGGTTATATGCGATTGGGTCAACTAATTCGAACGAACGAAGGAATGAAAGAATGAAAAAAAAAACAATGTACTCTAACCTTCACGATGTGCCCGTGTGGATCTGTTTACAATGACGAATCGAATTGATTTGCACAATTGTGGCAGTTTGTTTGCATCTTTTATTTCAATTCGTGTATTGTTTACAGCATTTCCATATACCCTAGTTAGTCATTCGGCTGCACATTTGCATTTGCGAAGCAGACGAAACCGCCTTAAATAGTCGCCACTTTTTATGGACTGGTTGAGTTGAGTGAATCTTATTATTGCATTCTACACGTTTCGTCGCAACAGAATTTATGTTTTCTTTTTCGTTTCTTTTTGCTGTTACAAATGAATCACGTCGCCGATGGGTTTCAACTAAAGGTTCAATCGGTGTGACAGTATCAGAAGGAGGATTGTATTAAATCATGGTAACAAAAATGATGATGATGATTGTGATCTAATTCTATGAGCATATGACGTTCGTATAACGATGTCTTTTAAATTGTGTCCCAAATTTTCTGAGATTCATTGTTGATTTCAATTCCAAGAAGGAGAAAACTTGGAATTTTTTTTTCGATATTTGGAATTTTATCAATGGCACTCGAAATGTTTTTGTCCATAATCGCCTTTGATTTGATAACCGTAAACAATTTCGATTTTCATTCAATTATTTCAATAGACAACTGAAATTGAAGTGCGGCGATAAGTAAGTGTTGACGCCGCATACTCGATCAACATACCGTTTGACTGATAAAATTGCCTAACAAAGTGTAATTTACGCTGGATCACCGTTTTGGAAAACAAGCCACAAGCACTTCGGCTTGAATTGAATGCGGCTCGCTTTGTTTTTTCAAATGACTGAACACTCTCAAAACTAGAAATATCATTATGAGCGAAGAGAGGAGATGTTTCAAGCTTTACAGCGCATGAAATCCATAAAACTTGCATTGCTTTATGGATATGATTATGAATGCTGAAACCTAGGCTGAAACAAATTGCATAAAGACGAAGAAAAAGAAATGGCATGAAGCATGAGAACGAAATAGATTGTTGCAAATCTGCAGAAATCCTTTGGAGTCTGTAAATTGCATACATTTTAAAAGACCAACTACAAGAATATTAAACTTTGGATAATTCTTTTGTGCAATAAACACAATCTCGAAAAAAAAGGTTTCTAATTGTGCATAAACAGCTTTTGGTTCATGGCAGAAAAAAAATGGCAATTTTGCAAACCGTACACATCCATTGCGGTATAGAGCTAGCGAAAAAAGTGCCATGTTGTATGTGAAAAGTGCCAATTAATTGTTTTTCTGTCTGTTTGTCTGTTGAAGAACAAAACCGAAAATCTTGTCTTCGTAAGCATGTATAGCGAACGAGAGAAAAAAAAACAAAGAGCATCGTGTTTACAACAGTGCTAATTTACAGTTCGTAAAAAGTTTTTTTTCGTCTTCTGCTGTGTTAAACAAATAAAGCCTTTTCCCTAACAGTCTGCTCTTTGTATTCGAATTTCGTTTGTATCGAAAATCGTGCTCTTTCCGAACAAATGTATATATTGATCTGCATGTTTTGGTTTGAATGAGACAAAATGTGAAACGGCACATTCTGATCATCTTATACAGACAGACACAGACACAGACACACACATTTTGTGACTGGCAAACAACAGACCCTCGTTTATAACCCAGCACACACACACACACTCTCTCTCTCTCTCCTTGTCATCGTATTATCTGTTTCATTTTCGTGCATTTGCTTTCATTCCATTTCTTTGCACTGTAATTCCAAGAGTGTGTGCGCTATGGCCTCTTTCACATCGCTTTTTACCTATATTTCTATTTTTGTTTACGCAGCACTATTTTTATCTTCGATTTTTTCCCATTCGTTTCATTCGTCGATCGGTTTGGTGAGTGACAGACGTCGGTTTGCCATATGCGTGCGTGACAATAGCGCAAAATGCATTGGGAAATGCAATGCGAGCTATAATGAGCACTCTGTAGTTTATTTTTTTTCCGGAATTCTCAGGTAATATAAGCAATGTGTTATCCCCCGTCATGACGGGTGAACAACGAGGGGAAAATGGAAACTAAATGGGTATTGGTTGGCACACACACACAATAGCACAATCTGATTGCTATGAAGCCATCATAACTTAAACCAAACTGCATTGCTTCTGAATATAATCGGATCTGGCATTAAAAATAGGAAGACGATGATCGAAAATGGGTTTTTATTTGATTTAGATCATAGACGCAAATCAAATATTGTCACTACAGCAAAAAAAAAATCACTTTCGATATGAATATTCTTTGACTAAACCAAAAAAAAAACGTTATGCTTCGACGAAGGAAAGAAAACATTGTCGTGTGTCGAATCGCATTAATAAATGATATCGAATTTACTTTGTTGACACAAAAATACTCTAATTCCAATATATATCATTCGTTCGCTATGCATTTGGATGATCACAGTTATTTCCGTTGCACATCGAAAAGTCGCATCACTTTGAAACGGTTTAATGTGATCTTTCCACCGAAAATGTGCATCAAACACAATCATCACTTATGGCACGGTTATGAAATTAGGGGGAATAATTTTATGGATGAACATGGAATTTCGGATGGTTCAGCTGCTGTATGGAATTTTGCAACGGCACAAACCCATAAATTCACTCGATGACGTTTGTTTGGCATGATTTAGAGAGAGAGAAATTGTCTGCTTTCCGAATGCAATTGAAATTTTGACATTTTGCCGGAGCAAAAAAAAGATAAAACAAAAATGGTTTGTGTGGCAAGAGAAATAAAATATTTTTTTTATGTGTCTAGAGACTATGGTCCAGAGTTTGCATTTGAATTATGATATAAACCATATGCTGATTAATTCTTGATAGGCCATTTATCATGTCAAATAGCGTGGAGCATTGGTTACTCAAAAACGGAGCGGCACAGTCACACAGCGCTCTACTCATACACATGCACACATTTTCGACGGACTAACTGCATGTCGTGGCATCAAACCACATGCAAATGATTTCGAAATGCCATTACGAAAGAATTGCTGTTCATGCATCATTATCAGCGGATAAATGAAGTTGTTTTAGTGCACTTTAAATGGGGAAGCAAAGCCACCAATTAAATGCAATGTAATTGAATAAAAAAACACGTTGTTAATGGGCGGTTTTTTTGTGTATGTAGTTTTTCATCTCACAAATGACTACCAAGAACAATCGTGCTTATTGTACGCCAAAGCGAATTTTATATACACACAAACACTTTTGAAGTGAAGTAAATCAAATGGTACAGAGTTCAAATCAAGTCGTCCACTCGAAGAACTTGAATACTTTCAGATTTCACCAAGAACATGCACCAACAGATTTTTTAAAATTCTTCTTTTTTTTGAATGGCCGAATCGTGTTCATGTTCGATCCGAAAACGATATTTATTTTCAAGTGTTTCGCCTATTTTTAACCAAAAGCAGAAGAAGAAGAAAAAAATGTTGAGTGAATGGCTCAAAATATCGGATTGGTCTAACGCGCGAGAAAGGCGAATGATCTCCATGTCAAAGGCTAAGAACATGTGTTTTTGACAGCAAACAGAGCGAGCGTCAAACAAATTGTATGTCATCGTCCCGAGTTATGAGCTGTGTACGATTTATTTAAAAGATCCAGCCGAGCTATATCGTCAATAATAAACTTGAAACTAACACAAAACAACAACAACAAAAAAACCAACGCATTAGATACTATTTTAGTTGTGCTGTTGGTAACGACGATTATACATCGTCATAGAGTTGTAACTCTATCGGCAACACGACCACTTGTGTTGTCATTTCATTCAAGTTGTTTCTTCGAAGCGAAAAAAAAAACAAAAAATTCGATATAATAACAACATATTCAATTAGGCAAATTGCCGTTTTATTTCCAACATTCCGAGTCTCAATTAAACGATGCAAGCTCTTGAAGCGATAAACTTGCAATTAAAATTACTCACGTTCTCTCTGCGCTCTGTAAGTCATCTGTTAAATGAATTTGGTTTTTGGAAAGTTTTTGCTTTCTTCCGTTTCGTTTCTAAACGTCGCATCGTAATAGATAGCTTATTTTTACGTTGATTTCGATCAGCTCATCGTCTATAACCCAATGACAGTATAAATGTGCGATAAGGTGTCATAATACGAAAATATATCAAATTCTGTTGAAAATTGAACAAGATTAACGTTACGCCACTAATGACACGAGGGGGAAATAATAGTGAAATTGAGATAACAACGTGAGCGTCGGTGAACTGTGATTTTCAATTAATCGGTTCAATCGAGCGATTGAACGACTGAATAAACGTGTGCGCGTCCCACGTTAATGAATCACACCCAAGCGACTAATTCATCTATTCACTGATTTACATGTGAATGGCATATACACACTAGAGATCCATTGAACATTTGCATACACTCACGCATCTGTTACAGCAAATGGGAACAAAGACAAATCGATCACTGGAGTAGGCATTTGATTTTATAGCGAAAAAGTGAGAGAGAAAAAAACTGAACGTCACACAAATCAATGGCGCTGTCTTTTTTTTCGCTCACACATTCTCTCTATTGGCACAGTCTCATTTGGTCGCAGAACATTTGTGGTGTATTATTGAATAACAGCTTGAAATGAACGCGATAAAAAATATTGTTTGAACACAACTGGAAAATAGATTATCAAGATACTATTGACGGTATTTTGAATTACGGCCTGATTATGGAGGAATTAAGACATAAGCTGCTACACTCTACGCTCGACTGAATCACTATTCAGACTGACACCAATTTCATTGGTGTGAATCATACGATCATCTGAGTCGCGTGTGTGACTCAGGTGGTAGCGTAAATAAGAAGCGAACGATCATCGCGATTTGCGCAAACACACAGAAGTTGCTTGACTTCTTTTGATTAGTTTTTTTTAAACATTTCCAATCAAAACAAAAATTGATAGGATAGCGCGAGGTTGATAGGATAATGAGCCATTGATAAGAAACTTACCTGATATTTATCAAAATGTGGTGATAACAAATTATCCATTGTTTATTTGATTATTACTTTTTTCACGGTATTTTTTTTCTCTAGCTAAATGCAAACAGACTTGCACTTTTTTCTCTGTCCTGTGTTCAATCAAAGGGAACAATGGCAAGGAAAAAGTATCGAAATCGTTTTGGATCGTGCTTCACACAATACACAGTTTGTTGTTTCTATGGTTCTGTTCTGTTCCAGTCGATAAGAAAATGACCACACTTCTGCGTTCGATCACACTCTGACACGCATTAAAGCGCTTTGATCACTTTCGATGTCGATGAAACTCGCCAATGAGTCTACCACATATCTAAAAAAAAATGGGATGACGGCCGTTCGTTTGCACTCAATTGAATGCCCCCTTTTTCATTTAACGTTCAATTATGCTGTGTGTATGTGACCAATTCGGATATGCTGTGCTGGATATCGAAACCAATTATGATAAATTGTAATGCATCACACGTACAAATTGATGCTTCCTTTTTTTTGATATCCCGATTCGCGGTTTGTCTTGCGTGCTTTTTCTTTTTTCTTTCACTCTCTCTCTCTCTCTGTCTATCACTCTCTCGTGATCATTTGATACGCGCCAAGTGTTTAAAATTTATTGTTACGTTTTCATGCTGTCATTTGTGACGGCTTCCAGTTCCTGTTCACTTGTGCCACACAACACACTCAATTAAAATCGAAAATAAAAACGGAATTCATAGCCCAAATTCGGTGTGGTTTCTTATTTTTGTGTGGGGGGTCATGTCACAGGTTTCACCATATTCAATTCAAAACAATAAAATAAAACGATTCGTTTCATCGACCCGACAAAATTCGTATGGTTTTTTTTCACGTTCATTCGACAGACAAACACACTTCAACTACACGAAATGGTATGCGCCTATCATTTGCATTTCATTTTGGCTTTTGATACCGATGTAGAGAAAAACCGTGGCTATTTTTAATCGAGAATTTTGAGACAACGATACCAATGACAACAACATAATTTCTAGAGTCATTCGTAGGCTTTGTTATTATTTTTGCACCCAAAGTCACTTGAATTTGTTTTTTTTTTTCAACTTTTTGTTTCCGCGAAAAATATATCAGATTTCGAGTTATTTCTAAAATTCACATTTCGGTCATTTTTGTTTCAGAGAAATTATTTATTTTTTTCTTCTCGTTGTTGTTCGTTTAACTACAGGCTGAAATCTGTATGTTTTAAGCCGTAGCGATTGACGGAGCACATGTAATACAGCAAACGATCGTCGAACGAATGAATAAATGCAACTATGTCGTATGAACGCTCACACAGCACTACGCTCACTAGGCTGTATGCCGGAGTGTCTTTGCTGGTTTTCGTTTTCTCGTTCTCCTTCTTTCTCTTTCCCTCTCGTACACTCTCTTCCCTTCACCATTCGTCTCCATACCGCTAACAACAACGGTGCGTATTTTGTGCTATGTTTTTTCTATTCGCTTCGTTTTTCTTCGCAAAAAGAACATGATTTGTTGTTTTTTTTTCAATCATTTTGATTTGATTCTAATATGCTTTAGACTAAAATATTACCTACTCTATCGCAATGTAAGTGTGTGCGTACATCTCAAGGCAAATCACATTTTTATGACTTTCGTAATTGGCAGAATGTACGTAAAAAAAATCGGCGTTTGCCGCCAATGAATCTATCAATAGCAACAACAACAAAAGTCATTCAAGTTGATGTGGTTGATAATACGCGTAAGGTACAGAGAGCAATTTGCTTGAGAATCACATCTAACGGTGCGCAATGAATATGAACTGAAGATAGACACACATCAAGTAACATGACCGCACATTGCTACACTCGTATTACTGCCGTCTGCGACTTGGTGTGTTTTGACCAAAAGGTAAACACATCGGTTTTGCATCGTTTAAAAAAAAATTGCTAATACGGATATGACTAATGTTTCACGTCTGAAGGTAGTCATTGCTCAGTGAAAATGAAAGCAAAACAATGCAAAATAAATACCACTGCAACGATTATAATGAACTTGTTTTTGGTTAGTGTGTCTCATAATTCAAATATGCACATAACTCTTCGCCACATTTCTCGGAATATGGTCATGCTCAATTAGCCAAAGTGAATTTTAAGAAGCGATCCGTTTCAAATACAGACTCTCAATGGAGAATGCTTGAGATTTTTCGAATTATGCATATCCAGCGACTAACATTTTTTAGCCGATTTTGGTAATGGTTTTTACAAATTTACTCGGCCGTCTCAAGTTCTCCACTTTGACAGTTCGGTTTTTGTGCTTCACCGCTTCATTTTAGGCCTGTTTCATTTACACATTTTATTATATGAATTTAGAAAAAAATGAGATCAATTCAGAATTTCAATTTTGGAATTATGATGTGAGTCAATAAACAAGCTGGTTCTCATCGAATTAAGCCTAGCATTTTGGAGCTAATCTCCAAGATATAATTAAAAATTACCCATGAATCATTGTCGCAAAAATAGCTGCCGAAAAAAAGGAATAAATAACAACACGATTTATGTGAATTCAGTGTTTAATGATAATAAAGCCCATATCCCCAGTAAACAGTGTTCTTATAATTACGAGCCGTTTGTCCATTTATCGTTCGTATTTTTTTTAAAAGAAAATAAGGAACTATTTTAGAATTAATCGGATTATAATGGATCCAGCCAAACGCTGGAGCGATGCTGTTGTCTATTGCAAACGTACTGATTTGCTACCTGGACACTCGCCTTCGCTCAACTGTACCAAATCTATACAGAACAGAAGAAATGTTATTAAGTATCATATGACTTGATCGAATGAATAAAACAAAAATATCAACAAACTTTCGTCTTTTTCGCAGTTGTATTTCTCCATGACGCAAAAGTTGCCGAATGATTTTTTCTCTTTGTCAGTCGGGGAATGTCCGGCACAAATCGGCTTGTAATCAAGTGTACACTCCTTAGAGCATGTCTGTTTATTTGTCGATGTAACACCAGGAGCCGTAGAAATGGTGCTGATCAACAGCAAAACTATGTACAAACGAGATAAAAAAAAATTGTTTAATTTTAAATGACATTGAAATAACAAGTTAATCAAGCTGCTGAAATCGCGTTGGTATGACACACAACGGAAACGATGATCTCTATCCGAATAAAAATCTCATTAAAATCGTTGTCGAGCTGGTTGAATTAATTCAACTATTCAAACAATTGAAAATGACTTCATATTGTGCGTTTCAATTTGTTCTTTTTTGCGCGTTCATCTATTGACGCCCGTTGTGCAATGCTGTGAATCTATTCCGAAGAATGCTCAAAATATCCAATGCTAGTGGTTTATTTTGGCAAACTGCACTTAATTTCGACCAGGTTTATGCTTCCGATTGGTCCACATAACACTTTGGTTTCAACTCACCCACAATGCTCAACAAAATAACTCTCATTTTTTTCAATCTTCTTTTATCGCACACAAAATTATGATCAAATTTGAATTCGCTGAATTGGTATTTTTAGAGTCGTCGGCCAGAGTGGACAATATCAACTGAACCAGTTGAAATGCCGAACGGTCATTTTATACGGAATTGATGACACAACAATATATAGTTCTCCGGATAGAGTGAAGAGTAAAAGAGTGAAAGAGTGAACAAGAGAAGACACACGTCGCTAATGATCACAAAATAGCTTAAAAGAGATGTGAATAAATATGTTTTTTTTTTTGCAATATGTGCAAAATCATTGTGTTCCACTAGATTGTTGACGCGTTCAATTTCATATATCCTACCTTGTCACTCTCGCATCACGCGCTACTACACAGAACAATCGTTGATGACAAGTGGAGACAACGCCGATTATTTGATTTAGTTGTAGAATGCTTTTTAATTCGCGCTGTGCCATAAAAATGAACAACCATTTGTACGGCCCTTCCACCCGAGGAACGTCATATGAATCCAATTGCGCATAGTGCTCTTAATGCACAACAATCAACGCCAAACAAAACAAATCCATTTCGATTGTTTAGATTTAAAGAACAACTAATCATACAATTTATGGCTTTGTTGCCGTTTTCTTCAGCTTTTGTTTCATTTTTGGAAATGGTCTAACGATAATCGAATCAGGCACATGCGTAATAATTTTGCTATAAATAAATAAATTAAGTGGCACGAAATTAAAAACTGTGACAATTTGGGGAAACCATAAAATAATCACATAAAATACTTCAAATCGGTTCAGAGTATATTTTTGTATTCAACTGAAATATTTCTACCCTTTTCTCTATTCTCCATTTGTGCCAAGAATTCGGGATTAAGAAAATAAGCATGAAAATGTCGTATTTGAAACGCTCGAAATGGTCCTGATCGGACGCTACATCAACTGAAATACAAAGAATTCCTTTTGTGAATGCCGAAGAGTTTTTTTTTCCTTCTAAAAAAATAATTAAGTATCGTTTTGCTAACGACAGCAAAGTGAAGTCATCACATACAAAATCTTTCCAAAGAAACATTTTATCGTGTTTTCAACAAACGAACAACGGAATGTTTGAAATCGTATGTACTCAAGCAAGCACCTTTCAAAATACGATCGGTTTCAAGTATCACACAGTACTTACATTTGTTCATCGTACTTAAAGAGAATTCAACCAACGCGCAGTTGGAGCGAAATTCAAACGGTTTTTTTTCTTGCCTTGATTCAATAGTAGACTGCTAGATATATGCTCTCACCGAATCGAATGCTACAATGTAAAAACCAATGAAAACCTCATGAATTTTCATTTTATTCAATTTATTTTAAGCTGTAAATATTTTTCCACTTTAGTTCATTTAATATTTTTCAATCGCTTAAAATAAAATGGAGATATAGATAATAAGTAAGAATTTAAACTTTTGACTTAATTCTAATCGTTTGAATTCGTTAAGACATCCAAAATAAAACGTTTGTTATGTGTCCGACGTCATAACTGTGGTTGAATTTAAAGTGTTTGCTGTTGGAGATGACATCGCTGTAAAATTAAAACGAAGTATATTAATGAATAATATTCTGCTTAATTGCATTGGATAATTTGATTTGAAAATATATTCAGTGATTTGATTTACATTGGCGACGCAACATTTCCATGATACGTTCTGCGTTGCATTTTGGACAGCGCTTATTGGGCCGAACAGTGTTTGTGTTGCACGTACACAATGAATGGCTACAAGACGTTGATGATAGGTCTTGGTTATTCATTTCATCCAAGCAGATCGCGCATACTAATGCTACAGCATTCTCTTCGGCTTCTGCTGCGACGTTTGCTGTGCGACGTTTTTTCGCGTTTGGTGTACCATCTTCCACCTTATTCATGTTGATTTCGACTTCAAACGAAACAGAATCGTTTACTACGAATCCATTTTCTGCTTTAAGAAGTTCATCCCATGATATAATGGAGTCCATGCTTAAACATTGATGGGGTCGAAGAAGTGTCCCATTTTGAGTCTTTTCGATGTTTTGCACTCCTGCGATTGATGATGTCATTTTGAAGTCGATTTTCACGGTGTGTGTGGTTTGGGTAATCCTATTCTTAGGACATAAACGAAGACAAAGACAATTCGTGAAACTTTTGAAAACAGTTAAATCCCATCCGAATTTTTGTAAGATGAATCGTGATTTTCGCACCGCCATGAGATTGTCCACATTGTTGATAGTGAGTCGAAAATAAATCTTATTGCAGCCACTACAATATTCTTTGGGATCGCATTGCAACTTGCTTGCATTTTCGTCATTTGGATTAGCGGATTGGATTTTCATATTGAAGACGGCCATGTCGTTTTTAACATAATTCTTTTCAATGTTAATTAACTCCGACCACTTGATAAATTTAGCAGTACCATAGTCCATTTCAGCGTAATCAAAAAAGAACGGATTAACATTCTCCTCAATCGTATTTTCTCTGCCGCGAAAAGGAATCAGTCGGATGGTGGATGTTGCTGCAAAGGCCCGAAAATCAACTTTTTTGCAGTGCAAATAAACGCTGAGCCATTCTTCTTTATCAATCGTTCTCTTTTTAATATTAAATGTAAATGGTATTCCTTGTATCAGAATGTCCGATGACCAGCAATCTCTAAACCTACTGATATTTTGGCCATGCACAAATATGCCTGCTTCTGTTAGTACAGTGGGTGCTTCTGTCATGTTGGTGAAAGCATCACGTCCGGCGTTGATTATGTGTAAAAGAATGAGCTAACTGGAGTTTACTTTGGATATGTTTCAAGTTTTTCAAGCTCAACGGATTGCTTAATTCAATGCGACACGAACAACAATATCTCGAAGAATAAGCAGAAACCGCGCTATCGCAAATGATGTTACCTCGAGCGCCAAGAACTGTTCACACACATCGACATTTCAAAATACAAGAGAAGCAGATTCTTATAATGTACGCTTTGTTCTGAGTTCAAGCTGACAAGTTGTTGCATGCAAGGTTCTGTCGCCACACTCAGCTCACATATACATAAACTGTTTCCACTTTGTGAAATCATCTCCTTATAAAATGTTTATACTCTGGCACACTGAACAGTTTTCGTCATAAAATGAATTTGACTAAAGTGTGTGAGTGTGCACTGTGCATGGACTTTTACATACGCCTGAATGACACTTTCGCTCTTATTTGCTTTACTTGCAATTTGCTCTCGTTTTGTACGCTTCATGAAAATCGTTCACACACATATTCATGCAAACATTCGCATACAATTGATCTTGACAGTCAAAAGAAGAAGCGATTCCGCTATATTGAACTGTCCTTCAAATTCGAACGATTCGCTTGTGTTAGAATCTTTTCTCGGCGGTCACTTGTTGTTTGGAATTGACTATAGTAGCATTACGCGCCAAATTGCTGATTTCGTATTACGTTGTTAAATAGAACAGTGACAGATACAAGCAATATAAGGCCTGTAAAGGCATTGGTACGTTAGTTTATCTTGAATATTGGTGAAATACAATGATTTAATTATTTTCAATCACTCTGTTACAGATTTATCTGCTGATAATCGAATGCTGTATGCTGAACGATGAGTTTAAAAGTGCTACAGCACCTGCAAAGTCGACCAATCGCGTCAATTCTCAATGTGTCCAGAGAAAAAGAGAGCATCCGTACATTGAAGTTGATCTGTATCCTCGACTATGAACTCGAAACAGCCAATCTGTACCAGGAAATGGCAGCAATCCCGCAGCTTGGTGAACGATTGTTGAAATTCCATTCGTTGGGTTCATTTAAGTACTTCAGCTACAAGTTGGAGAAATATTTGTTGGGCAAAAAATTGTTACGATGCAAAGTGTGTCAATTGGTTGGCACATACGTGACGGTGCTGGAACACATGGTCATCAGTCACAATTTGCATGCCAACGCCAAATTGTGCATGTTTTGCGAGAAGACAAAGTTCAAGACACACATGTTGCAGAACACGCTCAATCAATGCTACGGAAAATACGTGGAAAATGAACAGCTGAACGACATCAAGTACCCGAAAGTAATCAAAACATTCTACAATTTGTTGAGAAAATTGGCGAAAGAGCTTGACGTGAAAATCGCCCGGTCGGAATCGTTTAAAAATTCAACCAAGAACACCAATGTCATGGCCAACGAAATGGTAGTCTTTACATGGAAACACGAAAATCAGAAGGAAATCAATCTGTCAGCAATGGAAACATTGTACCAGAAGGCAATGGTACATTTTTATCGAGAAGAGTTACACGAATACCTTGTGTTTGACACAAATTTGATCGTACAGACCAAATTGGAACAAGGCGATGAGGATTTAGCGAGCCAAGACCAGAGTTCTGTTTGCTCGAATCTAACAATCGAAATAGATCCGGTTAAAGTCGATATGTCACAATCCCCGTCTTGTTTCGAATCGCCGCATTCGACGATGCAATCTGATATGCAACAGCCATCCCCACAGCTTGGAGCTTCGTTGCCATCGACTGAAACGAAGAAACAGTCCAAATCGTCATCAGGCCAAACGTTCTCCGATTTCATCGCTTCAGCATTGGGCCATATCAACGATGAACCACTCAGAGAGCAAGCTAAATGCGAAATTCAAAAGGTTGTTACCGAGCTATTGGCACAAGATATGATCAAAGAAATTATCGAAAATAAAGAAAACCACTGAATTTTTTTAACGACATTTTTATTCAATAAATTTTATTGTGTTTTTTCATAAAGAAAAATGTTTGTTCATTCGTTTTTTTTTTTTGGAAATCTTAAATTTTAGACCTTCGATCTCTTGCATTCCGATTGATATTCAATTTCAGAAAGATTCTAATGAAAGATCTTTTTTTGCTTATTCAATCGACAAAAAGAGCGAGTGTAAGTATGAATTCTGAATTTTTGAAATAAATTTTTTTCATTCTGATTGTTGACAAAAGTTGATGATATTCTGGTCGCTTAATTGATCCATCACTTGGGTTTGATTTGTCTTCGCATTTAGTTGGCACTGGAAATCAAAAAAAAGACGAATGATTAATACTTGTGCATGTACGTTCATGCAAATTCGAAATTTTCCAAATCCATTTTTTATTCAACTCACACTGGTAAATAGACCCGGTGCAAATTGTCCAAGTCGAGCTCCGAATTGCATGAAGGGCAGCGTTTTCGATTTTGGATGACGCCTTTGATGCACGCCGTACAGAAAATATGGCCGCATTTAGTTGATGAAGCATCGTCCTTGTTGATGTTGTTCAAGCAAATCGCGCACTCCAACCGAACGAGATTTGCACCAGTTTCAAGGGGATTGGCTGCTCGACGCTTTTTTGCAAGAGAAGCCGTTCCTTTCGGTTTACCCATTATGATTTCAACCTCAATCACAACCGAGTTATTGTTGACAAAACCGTTTTGTGCGTCGAACAGATCTTTCCATGATACTAGACCACGCATTGCCGGAGAATTATCCGTGAACATAGATTCGGTCAGAATTACTTCTTTTGATCCCACGTTTGCCTTTGATGACATCAATTTAAATAAGACTCGCACATTGCAGGAAATAAAATCATTTCCGGTTAACAGTCCAGCAAATAAAGAATTTGACCATCCCTTGTAAACAATCAAAGCCCAAGGATTATTTCGCATAATAAACGATGGTGTTCGCACTGCCATCAACGCATCGATATTCGTGACTGTCAGTTTAAATACGGAAACCACGCTGTCTTCACAGCATTTGTACAGTGGTTTAAATATCATGATACTTTTCTTTACGTCATTTGGATCGGCAACCTTAATTTTGAATTCCAATTGAATCGTGTCGTTCTTCACGGATTTGTTGTTGGCTTCGAACAAGTTGGCCCAACTAATGAAATATTTGTCAATTCGAGCTGGTTTCACGTTGCAAAAAATATATGGGTCGTATTGCTTTTCAAAAGCACTTTGATTACGATCAAATGACAACAATTTGACGGAGGTTTCTGCTGCATAAGACCACTGTGAAGAATTGTCTTTTTTTGCGCAACGAAATGAAACGCCCATGCAAGTATCTTCCTTAAAAATTTCAACTTGCCATGGAATGCCAAGAATCACTATTTCAGACGATTGAATTCTGTCCAAATTGCTGATGTTTGGAATTGTCAAAGGAAAATTGATTTCTGAAATTGCCAACGCCATGTTCAGTTCTAGAAAAAATATGTTGACATTTTGTAATTTCTATCGAATTGCTTAATATCTTTCTAATTCCAATTCTTACATTTTAAACATTTCAATTTATTTCATGTGCGTAAACGAAAGAAAAAACAATGCTCAAAATGCTTACCTCAATCAAAATTCGTAGAAAAAGATGGATTTTCGGCGAATTGTGCGATACAAATGATTTCCAAGTCGATGCTCCACTGGCAGCAACAAAATGCGTTCTGTATGACACAGGGTTTGGCAGATCACAATATCTGAGCGTAGTGCGCCACAATCCAAAGTGAACCAAAACAACGTAACCAAAAAAGAGGTTTGCTATCATCAATGCGTTGCTTACGATGATGTCAAAATAAGCACCAAGCCGACTTTTGTTCATATACCCGGCTCTAGAGGAACTTTCTCACTGTTCTACGATTTCCGAAGAGAGGCAAATAAACTGCACACTTAATGCACTGACGAATAGAAAATATCATATGAGCAGAGAGCATTAGCACAACACACAGTTTGTCGTCGAAATCATTTCAGAGAACATAAAATCGGAAAAAAGACTGCGAGTCAGCACTGGCAGCAGAAGGAGCTGCACGCTTGTTTGTGTATTGAACACATAGCCGTTGGTACACTGGTTTGAGTGTATATGTATGCCGTCTCATGTCTCCAATTTCCACTTTCGTCACACTGTTTGTTATGTTCGCAAACCCTTTGCTTTTGCATGGACAATATCGCATTTGAAGTTGTTTACTCATACACAGTGGAGACGAGAACGAGCATAGTTAGGTTGAACTGTCAAGAAAAATTCCGCAAAGCGGCATTTAATTGGTATGTAATATTTTCAGCGCAAATTAATCTGCATCTCTAGAAATGAGTAAATAAAGTGTTTAAGAAAAGATTATTGTTCTTCAGATTCGCTGCCATAGCCCGTAATCAAAGATGAATTCAAGAATTCTGGAGCATTTACGCGGTCGTCCGATTGCACCGATTGTCAATGCGTCGAGCGAAAAATCCGACACAAAGGCACTGAAAATGATGTGCATTCTAGACTATGAACTGGATGTGTCGGGATTGTATCCGCAAATTGAGACAATACCAAAATTGAAGACGCAGTTACTGAAAATTCATTCGTTTGCCTCGTTCAAGTACTTCAGATACAATTTGGCGAAAGAAGCGATAATCAATGACAAAGTTTTGAAGTGCAAACATTGCGAATTGATTGCATCTTACTTGTTGATGCTGGAGCACATGGCCATCAGTCATAATTTTCACGCCAGTGCCAAAATGTGTATGTGGTGTGAAAAACACGAACTTCAAGATCACATCATGTCAAATTCATTGGACGCGTGCTATACCAGCTATTTGTCGAAGCATCGATTCAGTAGCACACAATTCCCCGCGGTGATTGTGAGATTTTACGATTTGTTACGCAAAGTGGCCAGAACACTCCGTATTGAAACCCATCGCACGAAAGATTTCAAATGTGCAAGGGTTGACAACGAAGAAACAATTCCACTCGATCGAATCGATGACTCGATGGACAGCAAAATCATCGTATCCAAACCATTTAAATGGAAATACAAAGAGACTGATGAACGTTTCATGGAAAAATTGTTCCAAACAGCAATGGCGTACTTTCACGAACAAAAGGTGGGCGAATACACTTGCACAACAACACCCGATATGAATGCAACCAGCACAACGCAATCGACGGCTTATTCGTTTAGTTCAACTGTTAGTCGACGCTCCAGTGTCAGCAGCCGAATGAACATTGGCGTCGATTCGATAAAATTTGCGATTCCAAGCCCATCCACTCGATATGATTCACCCAAATCATTGTCTCCGTTTGATATGCCCAGTTCAACGTCGCAACTTGCACCGATACCACCGTTGTCACTGTCACCGCCGCCATTGGTAACGCAACTACCATCATTGCCAATGTTCGATATGCCGCTACAGGAATTGGGTTTTGCCAACTTCATTTCATCTGTGTTGAACAGTTTCCATGACGATCGACTAAAAATGCGAGCCGAATTGGAAATCAAACAGATTATTTACAAATACTCCGCCGAAGATGTTGCGAAGCAAATGACAAACAATAGTCAAGACAGTGAATCTGACGACTGACTTTCTTTGTTTATCAAAAAAACACTTTATTGATACCTATCGAATAATCATTAGTAATTAACATTACATGTAATGTATGTAATGCATGAATTATCCTGTTCAGAACAAGCAAATAAATTGCAGAATGCAACAAACTTTTGAATTTCTTGACAATTTGGAGTCTTTTTATTTGTATTGGGAAAACTGCATTTTTTTAGCCAGTTGGTATCGAAAAGGCGTTTGATAATCAGTTCATGGAAATCTAAATGTGAGTAAGTAGAAAATTTCGATCAAACAAAATCAAAATTCATTGAATCTTCGGCACTTTTTGGTATATTTTTCGGTTTTTCTGTCGTTAGATTTTTTGTCGTTTATTTTGATTCGTTTTGATATTTAATATACAATTCAATCCATAATCAAATGACAATGGGACAAATTAAAAAGTTTTTCTTTAAACTAAATCAGTTCTTCAATGGATGCAGCATATTTCGTCGTCTACGCGAATTTGAATAAATTCGGAATGGCATGCATTTATGTACGACAGATGTCTGCGATGCAAAGAAGGAATACAACATCGTCGCATTGACACAGCCAACTAAGCTTGGTTTTAGCTATAGTTGTGGTTGTAAAGTGTGTTTTCGTCCATTTTTAGAATGTATACATTTTAAAATTTTCTAGAAATCGTTGATAAATTTATTTTCGTTATTCAGTTTTATAAAATTGTTTAAAACAGATTTTAAATTCGAGATCGATTTCTCGGTGTTGAGAAAGATGTTAATTCAAAACGAACAGTCATTTTTGCGTACATTTAACTTCAACATGAATCGACTATGTATGTATTTTCCTTGACCGTTTGCCGTTTCATAAAGATGGCGTCGGCTGTGCTATACACAGTTTGGCAAGCTGTCAGTGTGTCAGCGACAGCGTAGCAAGCATAAACAAAAGTGAATTGTTCTGAAACGAATTCGGTGTTCCATTCCGAAATGGAGAAAATACATGAACATTTGTTGGGTCGCCCGTTTGAGCCAATTTTCCGAGCATCAAACGAAAAAGAAAATGAAATGGCATTGAAAGTAATGTGTATCATTGATTATTTCATCGAAAAGCGTGGATTGAATGCAGCAATTGATGCCGTTCCAAAGTTGCGTGAACAATTACTTCGCTGGTCGTCATTCGAATCGTTCCGTTTCTACAGCTATTCGGCGCCAAACAATTGGTTTAAGCACGAAGTGTTGCAGTGCAAGCGCTGCGAATTCATCGGCCCGTACTTGACTGTATTAACCCATATGGCTGTCAACCATGATCTCCACATCGGACTCAAGAAGTGTGCTTGGTGCAATCGATCGGAACTTCAATTGCACATGTCCCAGCGTACATCACAAGAATGCTACGAAATGTACTTGGCCAAAGAACAAATCAAGCGTGATCCAAAGTATCCAAATGTGGTTGTTGATTTCTACAACATGCTAAAATCGATTGGTGTCGCACTTGAAGTGAAAATCAAACGATCGGAATCGTTTGCTGGCATTGGTTACAAAAGCAAGGACTATCTCCTGGACGCAGATGTGGATGTGGATCAATCAATCTTGGTTTATAGTGCGAAGAGAAAGCGAAAAGAAATCAACACCATGAAATTAAATGATCTATTCCGCCAGGCAATGGTACACTTTCACGGCTCAGATGCACCCAAATTCTACAACGCATTCGCAAACAAGCGCTACGCTGACACTTTGAAAAGTGTGCTTGGTTCGGACGCGCGGGCATATCAAGCCATGAAAACATCGCCTAAATGCACACCAGCCAAATCATGTCCGCCACCAGAATCCAGTCCACGGTCTCCACCAGAAGCTTCATCAAATGTTTCACAAGCGTTCGCATCCTACATCGCATCGGAAGTCGATCTCATTCAAAGTCCAGATGTAAAACGACGCACCAAACGTTTGATTCAAGACATAATTGCAAACGGCCAAGACGAAGACAAAAATACGACCGATTGATGGACCGAAGCCGAAATGAAGGCTGAATACAGAAACCATGACTCACATTAAATTAAACTTAAGTACAAGTTATTGAGTTCACTCTACTTTGAATTAGAAAACAGTGAAATTACTCCATTTGTACCATTATATTTCCAATATTCAATCACCTTATTACGAAAAGTAAGAAAATTACTTGACTATCAACATTTCCAAATCCATTCATGTGACATAAAATTGTAATTTTGACTTCATGTTCTGATCTGATTTTCAGTTAATGGATCGTATCGTATCCATTACTGTTAAACACTTGACATTCCATGATTTTATTTCTAAAAATAGTTTAGAACATCTATCAGTTGAATAAATTCATACATTTCTCTTTATCTTAACCGCTTTTGTTTCTCTGGTTTTGCTTACTGTGTTAGATGATGAGCTCTTTATTAAATTGTACGTCATGTGATAAGAACATTGTTGCAAAAAAGGAAGTGATTAGTAAGTAAGTAAGAATGAATCATATTTGTTTTAAAACAGTTTCAATTGATAAACTGAGACAGATTGAGATAATGCTACTCGTATTTTTTTGTGTATTTATGTCGATTGCTTTAGAATTTCATTCGATTCTCGCTCGGCATTTTTGACAACTTGAATCCTCATTCAGACGGTTCCATAAAAGTATACATTGTATGCAACATAACGAGTGTCATTGGCACTGATTCCAATGGTAATTTTATTTTCTTTGATTCCGCCATCAATAACGTGTATTTGATTATCCGCCGATTCCTGCCCACAGAACAATTCCAAAACAGATTAACAAATTGAAGGCCAATTTCCATAAGACTTTGTTTTACCTGATAAACGGTCAACATAACGAAAGTCAAACTTTTGATGGTCTTTCCTTCACCCGGATAGGTTAGATTGATATGTGCATTGGTTTTTGTCTTCCAACCAGTTTGCTTGAAAACGTGATCCAATTGTTCATCGCCTGTAACAAAGCAAATTGCACTCAGAGTTTTTGAACGTTTTCAATTTCTAAATTCGGACAATCACATTCTTGGAACCTTGGATGCACAGAAATTTAAGAGATTAATTACCATTTTGTCGTTCACCAACAGTGAAGTAAAATCGATGACTTTTGCCCAACGACTGCTTGGCATACACCGTTTCGAAAAGATTGTTTCGGCTCTCATCTTCGCTAAAATTCTCCGATGTCATGTCACTCTCCGAAAAATCAACGGTATCATCGAACACCGAATTGGACGAAATAATCGTAATGCTAACCGCAAAGTTGCACAACAAAAATGAAATCAGCGCGATTGTGATGAAATGCATTGTTATTTGACAGATTGAACAAGAGGTTCTTAATAGAATTCCAAACTGCGCAAAATGTGACACTCAACTGAGTGGATCGTTCTTGCGTGTAGACTGTAAATATGCAAACGGTGTGAAGCAAAATACGATAAAGAGTCGCCAAAATACACAAATATAAGTGACTCACGCATACTTGGACAGAGAATGGAGTAGAACAGAAATGTTGTTTCCAATTTCGCACGTCTTACATTTTGCTACTGATAGCTGGACAATAGATTCAAATTCTGTGTATATATGCTCTGTACGTATTCACGAAGCATTGATTCAATAGTTTATGAAACGGTCATTCGCTATAAATAGACATATTCCCAGGAACGAATCCGTTAATTTGGAAAACTTTTAAATGCTTTGGAAAATTATTCATTTTGTGATCCCTATGCACATTTTGCCGTATGTAACTGATTTAAAACTGATCGCAAAACTGCCGAAGGGCTCATGTATGTTCCAATTTGAATAATTTGAAAAAATGACATGTGTGAAATAACGACGTACATCACAGTCAAAGTAATATCGTACATTCAGCGGAGCTAAGTCTGTGTACTGATTCTGTATTAATCATACAGCCCTCTTTTGACCCGAAGATCCATTCATTTATCTGACATAGTTAAATTTCTTCTCAAAATCAACATACTCAAAAATCTATAGACATGGAAATATTGGCTCCAGATATCGGTATGGATTACCCATACCGATTGTACAGTGGAATAAGTTCGGAATCAAGCGTTGTATTTGAGGATTTCTGGATGTAATTGAGTTAGTCGAGAGTAACATTTTCGCAGAATTAGAGATGGGTATGATGATTTATGCTGTGTTTTCGAGAAGAAACACCAAATGATGTCATGATTGAAATGATGAATTCACTGAATCGAGTATCATTGAAAACAGAATTGGCCGAAATGAAATTTTGATGCTCTTGAGGATATACATTCTTAATTATTTCAATATTAATCAATCTTTATTTAGTAGAATATAATTTTCACGCGATAAAATCCATTGTTTTGTAAATTATGTAAATAAAAAATTCCAATTACAATTGCAAATAGAATTTCAGCATTCATTTTCTTATCAATTTTCTAATTTGTCTATGTTGCTAACGTCAAATCTCCAACAATCCACTTCAATGTCAACGGTGGTCTTTTTATGAAATTTGTAGCTCGAATCCAAATTGTATCGCAATGTTGCAAAAACTTCGGCTTTGGCTCCCAATTCCGTGGCTTTGCGCTGAATAAAATCACGCGTCGACGTCTTGTGCAATGAATAAACGGCAGTTCGAGCGAGTTTGAATCCGCTCACTAAAAATTTCATATCCATTCCTGCATTCTTTTTCGTGCCAAATGGTGGATTCATTAAAACTGAATCAAAAGCCTTGCGCCACTTGGAAGTCTCGCTCGATAAATCAGCCACCACATCACAATTCACACTATCGACTCCGGGCAGCTCCATTTCAGTGACATTTGCACGGAAAATCTGTAAACAAGAAGCATTAGTATGGAAAAGGATCTTGATTAGAAGCAACACACAATAAACTGATCATAGAGTCCATCTGGAAAATGACAATAATTGGTCCAAAATCAGGTTTCATCTCACCTCCAATGCATCAGGATCGATGTCGAAGCCAACTGTATGCGTTGCCCCCAGTAAAAACGACCCGATACTCAGCATGCCGCAGCCGCAACCTAAATCGGCTACCAGTTTATTCTCAATATCATTATATTTGGTTTGGATTGTGTAGAGCATGACGCTTGCAATGTGTGACGGTGTAACATATTGCTCGAGCAAAATTTTGGGCTTCTCAAATCCGTCCACGCCTTGTAAATATTCTTCTAATTTTTTCAATTTGATGCATGCCATTCTGTCTTCTCAATTCTTATCGATACAATTTCAAAAATGCGTTAAAAATGTGATGAGATTTTGTAGAGGGTAGTCACTTCGAATGCTTATTTGTTTTGTGGATTGGGTTGAGGTCGTGGTAATACTGGCAAGATATTATTACCAAACATCGAATCTTGAGCAACGAAAAAACCAAACGATTGACTATTTGCCTGAGCCCAAGCCGCTCGACCTAAATTGCTGCCTTGCGAATTCACCAATAAATCGTGCGATTGCGTCTGTTGTGACTGCTGTGGTAGTATACCAATGGGTGGCTGTGAGTTTACTTGCATCAACTGAAAACAAACAGAAAATAAATTCAATGAATTCACAGTACAAATTCTGATATGGTTTAAAATGCCAATTTTAACATGTATTCTACCAGTGGCATGCTATTTGTTATGTGATTAGCGCTGTTCAATGGAATACCCGCAACTGAACTTACTCCTTTTTGTAGAATTAGTTTTTTGTGTTGTAAATCTTCTAAAATTTTGCGGTTGTTCAATTCTAAAATGAAAAAAAGCGAAGCAAAATCAATTTACTCAAAATGCCTGGCCAAATAGAAAGTATGCCATTGTTTGTTAGAGAGCATCTAATGTTTTATTTTTACCTTGTTGAGCGTTTATCGTCGGAAAAGCCATGAAATATTATCAATTCATACGTATTCAAAAGAATTGACTTACAACCAACCAAATCAACTCACTTGCAATTGTTTTTTGTAGGTTTTCTTTTGTTTCTCGGTGAATTTTGTGTTTGCTTACAAATTTTGGTACGTCTTTTTTTATTTGGTCGAAAGCACTTGTTGTTTTATAGCATAAGCAATGAATACATTTGCACACAGTAAAGAAAATGACGTTCCAAATTGTGGACTCACATTTTGACATGTCAAAAATGTAGCGAAATCACGTGCACGCTCACGCTTTTCGTGCTTCAACGCAATGAAATGTCAAAGTGATTGGTGAGCTCTTACATAAATACGCGAGCCAGCAATATTTATTTTCCGTCACATAAAAATTAGGCAGAAAAAAGATGTTTGCAACAATATTACGCCGAATTCCACAAGTAGCCGCAACTCAACGGTAAGCATTCTCAAACATGAGATATTTAATCGATGGTAACAAAGAAAAGGAAATTTACATTGTGTTCAACAACAATTTGAACATTTTGTTGCTCATGAAAATGAACAAGTTTGACGTTTGATTGCTTTATTTCAGAATCGCTGTCGCTGGCTACTGCAAACCAATCTACAAGGTGCCATCAGATGATATCAACAATGCGACCAAATTCAAAGAAGCACCCATTGTGGACAACACCAACATTTTGAGCGATGCTCGAACATTGCAAGAACGAGAAAATCAATCCAAATTTGTGACAATTCCCGAAGAGGTGAGTTGATTTGATACACAAACATTGAACGTTGGGATTTTCGAGTGGAAATAGTTTTTGAAGTTTAGAAGCATTTGTCGAGCATCCATTCTCAAAAATTGTTCACCAGCCACTATCGGAGATAGTTTATCATTTAATCAGTCTTGCCTGACTTGATAATTTCCAATTACAGAAAGATTTGACACCAATCTCGGGTGTTCCAGAGGAGCATATCACCACACGTCGTGTTCGAATCAGCCTTCCATCGAAAAATTCCATGCAAAGCGGAACCAATAACTTGGACTACTGGAAAATTGAGTTCGATTCACGTGAACGATGGGAAAATCCATTGATGGGATGGACTTCGACGTAAGTTTATGCTTTTTTCAGATTTTGATCTCATTTCGATTACCTTTCTGATTGCATTAATCGATTTTGATTACACTTTGGGTTATAATTACTGAATCCCGATGTTCTAACCATTGATTTGTTTGTTCATTTTCAGTGGTGATCCTCTCTCAAATTTGCAAGTGGAATTCAACACCAAGGAAGAAGCGATCGCCCATTGTGAAAAGAATGGCTGGAGATGGTATGTGGATGGTGAAGAAAAGAAACCAGTTAAACGTACTAAGAACTATGGCATCAATTTTGCATGGAACAGACGTACTCGTGTCTCAACCAAATAAATTCGTTATCCTCTTGTAATCTTGTAAATGTACTTGCAAAATGAAAAATCCGGAATAAAACACATAAACTCTAGAATAATGCAAATAAACTGCTTCTTTTAATCATATTCAATTATCATCATTATCATTTGTTTTGACCTATAAAGTGCAATAATTTGTTGGATTTTTTTTTGATACGTATAAACACTAAACTATTATTATTAAATTAACAATTTCTCATGTAAAAAAATGTTGGGCATCGAACCCCGATGAGTATTCTGAATTACAGATATTAAATGCTATCGGTGAAAAAAAAGGCACATTAACCTAAAAATTAAGCTTATCCAGTAGCAATTGCTTCTTGAAGGCACCGACTTGAGTCAAAGTACTGGTGATATCATTGTTCTGAACGACTTTGTTCGTCTGTACGGCGGGCACCTGCAAATCGTAGACGAAATTTGTTGTCAGTTTTCGAAGGAGACACTTTGTGGTTGAGTTAGTTCTGATGAATTGTATTAGCTCAAATACTTGCCTGGTGTTTTGCTTCGATACGCTTGAAGATGTTTTTGTCACCTCGTTCAAGTTCCTTGGCGAATTCGATGAGTTTTTTGGTGTTATCGCGCATAGCTGGCATCGGATCCAAGTTCAATTTTGGTTTTGCATTGGCCAACATCGGAACTGGAATTCGAATATCTTGCACACGTTCTTCTTTACCGTCAACCGGCCGCTTATATCGGAAATCACCATAATTTTTTGCGTATTTTTTCAATTTTTCTTCGGTGATGCGTTTGAGTTCATCGAATGAGTCGGGCTGAACAAAGATCTCGCCATTTCGAATGCTGACCGATAATTTACGATTGAGTCGAGATTTGGCTGGATGAAATACTGATGATTCGTCAATGTTGAATGAGTATGGTTTGTGATCACTGGAGCTGAGATCAGACAAACTGTCATCTTCGTCGGTGTAAATTGGCCGGAAACTCTCTAGCCGCACATACTTTGGCTTTGCTTGTGGCTCTTGATCTTTTGTGACAATAAACTCGGTGTCTGTGTTTCGTTGTTTGAGATGACGTTGTGGTGCTTTCAAAGCATGTTCATCGTTATTTGTTGGCCGCTTGCATCGAGTACAGATTTCCTTGCGGCAACTCAAGCAAATCGGTTCACTTTCGCATGAACCGCAAATCAAACCGTTGGCAATGTTTTCCTCTTGATTGCGGGCCAAAAAGCGATTATGCTTACAAAAATTGCACATGGCTTGTTTGATGGGGTCGTTTTGACGTTTTTGGGCCGCATCTTGACGACGCGTGGATTTCGATGGATATGTATTGTATGTGGATGAAGACAGGCTATTTGGCAAAATCTCATTTTCGCTTAAATCTTCTAAGTCAAAGTAATGACTGTACCGAGTATCTTTGAGCTGATTTTGAGCTGAATTCGTGAAAAAATTATATATCTCTTTATCATTTCGTTTCGGTTCATCGCAATTCTCTTTGCCACGATCGGTGTGGGCTTTGCGTTCGTCGTACGAACGATATGTGCAAGCGTTTGGCTCAATTTGCTCGGAACGAACAGTTATCGATGGTTTGGTCGGCTGTTGTGCCACGATTGGCCTATTGGAATCGAGATTTATTCGAGACTTTTCACGATGACGTGTTTGACGTTGGCTTTCTAATTCATCATGCAAACGCACCATTTTTAATTGCTCTTCCATTCTCCTATTAGAGAGAAAAAGAGACAGATTAGTTGGAAGTTTTATATTCCAATGCAAATATTGTATTTGTCAGTTAAATATTCAGTGTTTATTAGTTAAACTCAAATAGATGAGATAAAAACATCGCAATGAATTTTCCAAAACAACTCAAAGAGAATACAATTTTTGATCAATCGATGTCAGTTTCAATTGAATGGCAGACAGACCAAATATTTAGGCAATTGTTTGTCATTGTCATTTTTATTCTTCACAAACATAGCCGTATGTCACTTCATTTTGTTCAAAAAGTATTTGAATTATGTCACTTTATTGATGTCAATACCATTCATGTCAGATCTGCAAACACATTGAATGAATTTGACCTTGAAATAAAACTTACTTGGTTAATCTGTCCTCTTCTTGTTGTTCTTTGGCTCGTTGAATTTCTCGTTCACGTCGTTTTTGCTCAATTTGTTGCATTAACTCTTGCTGATACTGAATGTTTCGCAATCTCTTGTCCTATAAGCAATTAAACATTGGCATTTACATTTTTCCTTCTAGATAAAACCACACTAAATGTTAAATTACCTCCTTTGATTTCTGATTGCGTTCGTTGATGGATTGTTCGTTGAATATGTCTGGAAGATCCATATTTTCTAATTCGTCTAAAAACTTATTTTTCACTTCGACACGACTGCTCGAATCCGATTCACCGTTATTATCATCCGCCGTGTGTTTCGTGTCTAATTTTGGCAATTCATTTTTTTGCATCGTATCATTCGTGGGTATTTTCGGTCGTTTGCACTGGCTTTCATTGGTTGTGTGTCGTTTTTGCGCTTTCCCATCGATTTTACCTTTCCGTGGCGAGACACGGCTCAAAAATGTTTGATATTCAAGCTGGCGTGCCTTGGCCAATGCTTCACGTCGACTTGGCTGCTGCGAATAACTAGGAAAGTGCGAATAAAAGCCGTCTGACGCCCACGAATCCATTTGAACACATTTTCTGCACGCACAAATAAAGAACGAAAAAGTGAAGAAAAAAAAAACGCTACAATTTTTAACCTCGTTTTAATCGAAGTAAATTTACTACGTAATTCACATATTCACTGCTTCTTACTTTACCTACTGAATTCTTGATAGATAGAAAGTTTGTGGTGTCTTTAAATATTCATGGAAATTCTATATTTAATACAAAAACGTTGACAATGGGTTGGAACATGGATGGAAGATGAGAACTAAAACTAAGTGGTAAGTGGTGTAAACACACATGAACAAAATAGAAATGAAAAATTAAACGAAAAGGAACGAATTTTGCTGGTGAAATGTCACTTGTCTATTGCGAGTGAGACACACACTGTGAAACTGAACTGTCAAACGATGCGACGTTTTCGATTTAAAAAAAAAAAGAAAGAAGCAAGCAGTCAAAAAGCGAAGTTGTGTGTCAGGTGCGATGCGAGTGACATTGGAAACGGTGCTTAGGAACGAGAATGTAATTTTCCATACCCTTCAGTGTGTGTATGTGTGTTAACAATAGGCAATTTTCTTCTCTCAACGATTAACGGTGAAATTGCGTGAAAAGCAACACTCATTACGGACACATCAAAATTGAATGTTATTATTTGGTGTTATCCATATTTTTTTTGAACAGTAAACACCATGGCGATTTGTTTACATAAACTGGTGAACCGTGCTTCGGTTATTAATCCAATTCTGCTGCAAAGTAGGCAAATCACAACACCGTCATTGATTGCCCCAGATCAAAACGAATCAAGGGTAAGGAATATTTTGTGAAATCATTCTGGTTGTCTTTTATGGCATATCTGCCACTCAAATATGCGGTGAGAAAAAATCGCATAACCTCAATTTGATTCTCTTTTCTCAGACTGTTTTGAGATCGATTACGATTAAAAAGCCGACACTCTTGAGTGTAGAAGCTCAATCACTCGCACAAAATGTCCGATGCTTCTCAAATACAATAGTCAATCTGAATCAGGTAATGGAAAACTACGTAATTCGATATGAAAATAATTTTTTCATTGAAAATTATAATTTTGCTATGGCCAACTAATGAATTTTTACATATAGGCAACGGGTTCAAGTAGCGAATCATCGCCGGACGGTGGTGCTAGTGAAGAGCAATTATCAATTATCTATGAGTCGTTGAGAGAGGATTTGCCACAGATATTTGTCAAACCATTGGATTACAGTAAAGTCCACAAAGATATTGTGTTTGAGAATCGTATTCGTGGAAAAACCTACTAGTATGTCCATCTGTTACCTTTTTGATCTCGATTAAAACGAATGAAACTTTGATTTCAATTGCAGTGGCATTGTCGATACCGTCAAGCAACTTTCGTTCCTTCGATTGTGGGGTCATTTTAAGTACGCCTATGTCAAAATGGATGTCATCAAAATGACCAAACATAAAGAAGACTCATCGATAAAGGTACGCTGGAGAATTTCAGGAATCACCGGCTATAAAATTCTCTTTAAAATGATCCAATTCCGTGTGTGGGATCCAAGGAAAATGATTGAAGAGCATCAACGAGTGTAAGTTTGTATGGTTTGTTTATTTATTTTTGATTAAATCCAAACTTAATTAGGTTTGAATTTTTTGAATAAGGTTCAAATTTTCTCTTGCTTTTAATTCATATTGAAGTATGATTCCCTGACGGATGAACTCTGTACTCAAAATTATAATTTAAAGACGTTTGCAATTCAAACTCAATCAATTTACAATGTTTCAAACTAACTAGATTTGAATAGTACACAACTAACGAATTTCTCTTTTTCTCTAGATGGATCGATGGATTCTCAACGATTTACGTAAACAGCGATGGGTTTGTAATCAGACACATCGCTGATAAGGTGATGCCAGATGAAAACAGAGAATTGAATCCACTCGAGAAAGTTGTAGATAAACTAGGCCAAGTACCAAAATTAGCTCTCTTCGTGAACTTATCTACAGACATTGCACCCACTATCACATCAATAGTTGCCGTTTGATATTGGTTAAGACAATCAATTGTATTTTGGTGTTGAAAGAAATGATTATTTCAAATAACTATGTGCGTTGAATTAAAATCTTAATAGTTGTAAATAAATGAAGGAAACCCTCAAGAACAAATACAATTTTTACTTCCATCTCAAAATGATTTCGACAAAATCATACAACTCTATTGAGATTAAATTCAATTGCATACGATTTCCGGCTCGCCGCCAACTTCACACCGTACACGGTCGAATGCGATGTTTTCGTGAACGTTCTACATCGAATCAGCTGTATGGAATTTGTTTTGCAAGTGAATTCGCTGTGACGTTTACCAGTACAGCCAATCACAGTTGGACACACACATACATCGATTGATGCTAGACTCAAACTGTCATAATACATACACGTTTTACACATTTAGCACCGCAGTTGCGATCGAACGCGACTATTTGTCACACAAAATTTTATTCTCGGCTTCAGTTTGATGTGAAATTTTGATACTTTTGGATACAGTCTCACTCGAAACCCGTATCGTAATATCGTCGCATAGTTTTATAATTTTTTTTTTTAAATTGTAATTATTTTTTTTTGCTGTATATTTTTGTGTGAATTGTTTTCGACTGTCGTTGAATGTGTCAAATAATCGTAATAACAAATATTTAAGGAAGAAATATTTATTTGTTCTGTAAATTCAAGTCATCAATAGCTCACAGTTGTTTTTTTTTCTCTCTCTCTCTTGCAATATATTGTCTGTTTGTGTGGCGTGTTAATTTTGTCGAACAGAGTTATCGCGTACAATTAGAATAAAAGAAAAATCGCAATTAAAACAGCAAGCTACAGAGAGAAATAAAAGGCACCAATCAGAACTGAAAATATATCGCCAATGCATTCAGCAATCAGTTTAATTTTGTATTCGAACATTTTAACACCAGCTACGAATGTCAGCCTTGAATTAATTTGCTTACAATAATTGTGCTAAAATTACGAAATTTTTCTATTTGTATTTCGTTTTCCTCTTTCGTTCTTCGGTGCTTTTCTTTTCTCTCTCTCTCTCTGTCTCTCTCTCTCTCTGTATGTAAACACACATGATACGTTGTCATTTCTTCTACGTTACATTTCCAATAAGTTGGCCATTTTTTATGCCTTTTATATGAATCTTCTCACAATCTGGATGGCGAGTTGAGTCACGATATTCGATCGAACTTCCCTCTATTATTCTCATTCGTAATAAATACTTGTTAAATTGATAAGCGAATCTATTCAACACACACAATTTTGTTTTTTTTTTTGGTTTTTAATTTCTTTTGTATTTTCTAATTGCACAGAGTAAGTTTAATATTGTTGTGAATGTGTAATGAAAACTTCGCACAAAAACGGGAGTTACTGAACGAAAAGAAAAAGATAACGAGCGACAGAGAGCAGATGAATAAGAAAGCAAATGAAAAATATACACATTGTAATTGTGCAAAATAAAATGTGCCGCATTGTACGAGTCAGCAGCAGAAGTATATAAGAAGAAGAAGACAGAAAAAAAAGTGACGACCAAAAGGAGCCCTCGAGCGCTAATATTTTGTCTATTTGAGTCGTCTTTATTGCGAATATATCGCATCACACAGTGTTTCGTTTCCTATGTTATGTTATAACTTGTAAGCAATACATATTTCAGTGCTCAGTGCCAACAAATAAACACAGTTGACGAAAGAGAAATAAAAAAAACCATTCGATTGCGGTGTGTTCCTTGTGTCAAAAAGAGACGAATCGGTTTTTTTCGTTCATATGAATAAGAATTTTAGAAAGAAAAAAAAACGCGAAACAACAACATACAGTGAATTAACTGAAAACAAAGCTGATATTGAAATAAGGTGAAATAAAAGGAAAGAGCGGTTAGTGCTTATTATCACTACTCTAAACTGAAATACAAGCAGTTTTTAAGCATAAATACTCGCATCAGTGAAGTGTAAATTACGTCAAAAAAAATCTGTTTCGTCAAATGAAGAAAGAATTTTCATTCGGCGCACACATCTCAATGAATTGCCAATAATTATTTGTATCAAAACCGCGAAGTCAATTCGAAGAAGAAGAAGAAGAAGTAGTAGCGAGGAGAAAAAGGCGAAACAACATTGAATTCCACTTAGTGCGAGTGAAATGTGTTGAAAAGAGTGTGTTCGACTATAAACGAGATTGAACGACACAACAGAAAAAGAAAGAAACAACAAGTGTAGAGAAGAATAAAAAAAAAAGCAAAACAGCCAAGTGTGTTCGACAGCCAAGAATCGGACACGATTCATCTAGCAAGCGAAACGAGAATTTCCTTTGAATTTCGTTACGGATCTCGTTTGCTTCATTTGCATGTGCAAACGATAGCGTGAACGCGTGCACCCTTCGACACAGTACATACCCGTATATATACACATACACACCCACGAACCGGAGCTAGGCAGCCGCGGTAAATGTTTGTGTGATCGACAGTGAAAAATATGTATTTGCCGGTTATATTGCAGACTAGATGCTTGGCGATTGTATTTTGTAGCCTGATTACAATCAGCCAGGCAAATGTCAATGCGCCATCGGCACCACAGCAGCAACAACAACAACAGCAATTCCATCATCACAATAATCCACAATATTCACAATATAAACCGCCATCAGCGTCGCAGCCGTCCGGTGCATCGCTGAGAGTGCCGACGCCACAACAACAACAACAACAACAACACCTGCATCACGGTAATTCCTACACGATGCTAAGCAAAGCAATGTCAGAAGCAGTTAGCCATGAATTCAGTAAGTGATCATAGTTAGCGAAATAGCAACAAAACCAAAAAAAAAAACAAACCAAAACAAAAAACAACCGAGAATTTCATTTGTTCTATTTCTAAACACGAGACACACATTGATCCGTTGCCTGTGCGTGCATACACATTCTGGCTGCAACCAAATTACAACATTATATTATTTAATTTATTTTTTTCTTTATTTCACTTCACGTATGAGGATATGTGAGTAAACGCGTGTATGTGAGTCCATGGATTTCAAAAATCTGAGTAACACGAGAAACTGTGTCTGAATGAGAGAGAGAGAGAGAACCCATTCTGTATTACGATTCGATTGAATTGGCCGAGCAACTAACAAAAGAGCAAAACAAATCCGAGACATACATTTACATCACACAATTACACACACGCTCTCTGTCTCAACCGTCTATTTCTATCTCGTTCATTTGCCTGTCATATGATTTGATACTGATGTTTTTGAAAATGGTCACGTTTTTTCCCCTTTCAACATACATTTGATTTTTATTTGTATGAATTGCTCATGATTAACTAATGAATCGATTGAATATCTAATTGGCGATGGCAGAAAAAATGCACTAAATATTTCCCGCTTTTTTAATTGTCCGTATACAAAACGGAATGCAACCGAATGCGCATTTTTTTTCTCTCGTTTCGTTGCCATTGAATAAAATGTTTGCTGTTTATCTCTCTTTGGAAATGGAAGCTTTTGTGTGTGCCATTTTTTTTAAAAATGTTATTGTGTGTACTTTGACCCTGAAAAACATTTTGTTGTTGTTTCAGTTGCTTTTTGTTCTCTCTCAATAAGCAGTTGTTTTGCTGTTTGTGAATAGAAGTGCGTTTGTTTTTACGATCGATTCAATAGATATGCGTATACGGTCAAAACGATAAGCCATTGCAAAAATGCGAGAAGTATTGCACGAGTTACCTCTATTATGACTGGTCGACTATATTAGGAAATCATAAAATAAAGCACACCACACAATTGATGACAGGTTTCAATCGAATCGGAAAGCCCATTTCAAGAAAACCATATTACTGGCTTCAGTGCAATGTTTTGCGGTCGACTGCAGAATATTGCAAAATCACATTACTGCCGTCGACGTCGTCGCCACTGCCGTTGCAGTGCACACACATAACCCATTCACATATTTTCGGGGCAATAAAATCGGCTCGTCGTTGCCGGAAAATAAACCATTCGGTTTATCTTTTCGTTCATCAGTTCGTTCGTTGAGCATGCCAAAAATCATTTAGCATTTAAAACGATATTTTCTTCCGCTAATGTTTGTCTTCGAATTATTTAGTCATCTTGTAGCTGGCATGTGTCCAATTGGGTTCGTAATGATACTATGTATCGCTATCGATTCATCAATCGAATCATTCGCAACTGAACAAACGATATCTACTCAATCGCCAGCAGACAAACACATGTGACAATAGAAAATTGTACTTAAATTCTGATTTTTAAATATCCGTACCCATTCTCTTCGTTTTGTTTTTTGTTTTTTTCATGGCTTGAAAATGAAATTTGAAGAAAAAAAAAACGAGAGAGAGAAAATCAATGGTTTATTTCCATTATGTCTGCAAAAACCCCACATTTCAGTTTACACCTACTGAGAATTCCGGCACATCATAAATTGAACCTAATCTCGTTTTATTGTTCGCATTGGAATTTTGGCCCACTGTAGAACGAACAGAAAAAAAATCAAAAATGCAAAGAATAGAACGTGTGATTGACCGCTCCAATGAGTCACCGCATTCATGGTCAATGTGCCAATTCATCGATTGCCAATAAATTATTGATTGAAAACAAAAAATGGAATGAATAGAGGCGGATTCGACATTCAAGCCGTTCCGACTCGTTCCATTCTAATGTGACCACGAAATTTAATTCGATTTCCTCCCTGCAGCCACCACCTTTCTTCGAATTAGCTTCGGATTTCTGTTCACTTGCAATAAATTGATCTAATTGAGAATTTATTGGCGCAAATGATCGTGAATAACGTTGAATAAATGAAACGAAGGGTACTTGTCACCCGCAAATACACGCGACATTTGCATGAAACAAGTGCATGAATAATCGAATCATATTATCTGTAACGATCTAATTTGGAATTACCGAACGTTAAATTTAGCGAATTAACTATTGATGTCTTTTTGCGATGATTTTGCACGGGTCTTTTGAAGTCAATCCACTTTGGTCAGACGCAATTTACCGATGATTTACAATTTTTCTTTGATATCAAGAGAATTGATCGTTTAATCGTGAAATATCGGCTAAAATCGTTTTCCAATCACATAAAAACGGAATATTTCACTTTCAATTCATATGAAATCGATGCTTCTTTAGAAGAAGTTCATTTTGATATGACTTAAAGACTCGTGAAATTGGCTGCACTCAAGGTCACCGTGTAAAATCAAATACACTGACTTTATACAAGTCATAAACCGTTTTTTTTCACTCGCAAAATGTACATTTCGAAAACTTTCCGTTCGATCGAAACGATTTCAAAGTTTTTAGTAAACACAATTTTACGATCGTAACTAATCTGGTACCTCAGCCGACACGCATACACATTCATTGTTTGTTCGCAAATCTTCATGTATGTTGCGCTGGCGATAATTTTGCAAAGAGAATGGAACGACAGTTATTCCATCTCGGCTGTTAGCAAGTGAATGAAAAAAAAACGGCATACATCATGTTCGCCAGTTTCCAAGTGCGTGCACAATGTCTTTAATTAAACTTGAACGAGAAAAAGAAAAAAAAAACTCGTAATAGAAACAGAATTTTTTTTTATTGCGATTGAAAATGTGTTTTAACGAGAAATTCAAGGCGCACCAACAAATTTGTCAAATAGTTTTGAGTCGGTCGTCAAGAGAAGCAGAAAAAAAACTATGCCAAATGAGTCTTTTGTTTTGTTATTTTTTTCAATCTCTTTTTCATTGAGTAAATAATGTCGATTGCTCGATTTTTCATGCACACAAACAAAACAAAAGCAGCGATAAAATGAAAATGACGATTGTGATGTCTGTATTCGATAAATTGATCAATTTATGATAAAAATCAGCCACCAAAGCCATGATTCAATTGATCACTGCCGTGAACCGCCCGTGGAATGCAATCAATTCGAATATGAAATGATTGATGCGACTGCAATTTGTATGCGTGTATTCGTATCAGAATGAGAGCGAACAGAGAGAGAGAGAGAAGAGTGAGAAAGAATAAAAAATGAAGAGTTGCAGAAAATGTCGCCACCATCGCGAATCTCGAATGATTCGATTCATTTGATTCATTCAGTCAACTATCACTTGATCTTGATTGGCCGAGATATATTGAGAAAACGACATTGTTTCTACGATGATCAAACTTGCAATTTTTTCCTTTTAAATCTTCCTCATCCACTGCTTACCTTTTCGTTCGTTCATTCGATTCAATCAATGCAAATATGTATATTCATCTCAAGCGTGTGGACGGTAGCGTAGCAGGCAGCTGCAACGGAATCATATCGTCGAAAATTATTAATATAAATATTCGTCAATATTTGAGTAGAAAAGAATATATAATTATTTGCAATACATTAATGCAGTCGAGAGTGTGTTTTTTTCTTCTCGGGAGAGGGTGGGCTTATACACAACGAATTAATTGTGTTTACGAAAAGAAAATATATAGCACCATCAGATCGTCACTTGCATTTTGGTCGTCTCATTAATGAGAGAGATCACCTCAAATGATCGAAATTTCATCGAAAAGCGTGTGCGAAGTACAACACAATGAGTAACGTAATTCTCTTAAAATTAAAATAATCACAAATTGCTTGGCTCGGTCGCTTATGTGCCAAATCGGCTCGCATTTCAACATTAACCGAGAAGAAAGAGTGAGGAGGAGAGAGACAGAGAGATAATCGTAAGCGAATCTCGTAATGATCATGCGATCACGATGCTTGTTTTTTAGATTCATTTCGCTTCTTATTTATCGTTCTCGTGGGCTCGTGTTTTTTACTTCCTCAAATAGGTTTTCAATGGGATAGTTAATACACACGCGGGACTAGCGATAGCCCGTAATAATTAAATGTACATTCAACACGGATGTATTCTTTATTGTTTTTTTTTCTCTTTTTTTTTTTCATATTAGTGTATTCAGATTCTGAGCAAGTGTATTGTAGTCAGATGTTAATGAAAATTACGATCGCTCCTAACTCGACTCGCTACCTCGAAGCATTCGTGTGTCTCGTTTTATATCTCTGTTTTCATTTGAAATCTGTATTTATGCTTTTGAAATGAGCACTTTTGAAAAGCAAAAGGAAATTAGAGATTTTTATGATTAAAAAAAAACAAGGAGTTTTTACCTCGAAACAACGTGAACAAGAAAAACGAAACACGAAAATATGAAATACTTCAAGAGTTGTGAACCGGACACGTGAAATTCTTGTCTATTTTAGAGATAAGACATTCAATTTTTTTATGTCAATTCTTTTTTAGTCTCTCATTTGAATTGAGAGAGAAAAGAGGTGCGAAAAGATACATTCATTGATCATAAAACGGATGAGTTACAGAAAAATGCATACATTTCCGTTCGCCGAAATGGTGTTTGTGGCCAAAGGACGTTTATCGAACTTGAAATGACCAACAACTAGTGCTCACAATTTGGCGTGACTATCGAATATGGCCCTATGTAGGAACTGTGACCAATTTCTGTTACAAAGTCGAAATGAACACGCGTTCACGAAACAAACAAGCATCGTTTGGTTCGATCGTCACATGTACAAACACGTATCAAATTCCAATTTTCGGTGCCGATCACCACCTGATATAGTACTTCACTTTGTCTCTGTTTCGGATTTACAAAGCATGAACTCATATCGACGGTACAAAGTTATCGATGAGATACGACGATTTCCATCAAACGTTCTTCTAATTCCACTTGATTTCGATTATGCTTAAGCCGGTTCTTTGTATATCAAACAAAATTTATTTTTTTAAATCAACTCACTCAAGGTGACCAATTAGCATTCCAGGTTGAATTTGTAAGAATTGACTCTATTTTTTCATCGTCACTTTTTTTCCATCCACAATGAAATTTGTATGACGAATTCAGCATACAAGTGGAACTAAACGAAAACAAAACAATTTCGATTTCCAACTGGTTTTTTGTTTCAACAACCACAACATTCGCATCACGTCTGACATAATAATAATGAAATGAAAAGTTTACTTGGAACGTTTGAGGTAATAATCAGCTGCGTTGATAAGCCAAAAATAAAACAAGCACACGTATTGTCCAACGACGTAAATGTTTTTGTCTCGTGCCCTAGTCAAACAAACAGCTTTCATACAATACGCCACACTCACACTTGCTCGATGCAATGCAAACAATGAATCGCATATTGAATGACATCCATAGAAAATAAAACGGTTACTATATCCGTTTTCACGGCCTAGTTCATACAAGTCGTATGTTCTGTAGTTGCGGTCCATATCAAAAACAAATGTTTTTAGTGCAAACGTGAATTAGCCTTATCACACTTTTATTGTGTCAAACACACTACCGTATTTTTATTTTTATACGAACATTCAAGCCATTTATTCAGAGATAAATTTGGTTTATCTCACTCTTTCGAATAATAGTGGAACAAAAAGAGCAAATTAAAACGAAGCGCTTGTTTGATTCACCGACGCGCAACCACTTGCAAATGACTCTTTTTTTTTCTAGTGATGCGATCTATTTGTATAGTTTGGCAGGAGATCGAGCGAGAGTGATATGTGATGAAAACGTGAGTGACTTATCTATTTTGTGAAAACAAAAGAAAACATACAAAGTCCATTGACATTTTGCTAATTAAATAAATGGAATCGCGCGGCCAAATTAAGTGCTTTGAATGCATATTACAATTATGAAAATTTCCGCTTTTTTTTACTCATTTGCAAATGAAAATGGGTTTGTGTTGTGGGCACAGTGTATGCACAATGAAATCATATATTCATTAACGGCTTGACATCTGATACTACGTTTAGTACGCAGCAAATACAAATCGGGCAAATGTCAAGTACAAGTGCAGATTTTAAATCATACATAATCAAAGACGTAAAATGGAGACACAAGACAAGATGATATCTTTGAATACATTCCATTCGGTAGAACATTCGATGTTCTGAAAACAAAATAAACATGAGCGAATATATGAACATGTCTTTATTATATGAGAATTAACTATTCATTGCTCAAGATTTTCACTTTGAACTGAACGTCTATTTGAAAAAAAAAAAAAAAAATAAATCAGTATCTCAGCTCTCCATGTTAACGAAAGTCATTGCTTCTGTCAATTTAAAAATCAAATATATTCCGAATCAATCCCAAGCAAAAATCTTCAATGAATCCAAGTTGCGTTAACGCATATCGAACACTGTTCTCACACGGCTTTGAATGTAGAACCGTGTGGCTATAATATAGTACAGTGTGAAGTCGTTTGACATCATTCTTAATTTGAAATAACCGTGTGGATGCAGTGTATGTTTGTATGGGTATCAAGCGTTGACACCAAAAATGGTTTCAAAATTCGTCATGATAACGCAACGGTCATACACTTTATCCACACGGTTTTAAACGTAAAATACTGTGGCGGACTTCGACACGCTTCAGTATGAACGTGTGTGTGTGTGTATTTGCATATTTGACACCATTTTTTGTACCCGTACAAACGGTCATTTGAAATTAAAAATGATAACAAACGACTTCACACTCTACTATACTATAGCCACACGGTTCTATGTTCAAAACCGTGTGAGAACAGTGTCAGATATGCGTTAACGCAACGTGGATTCAGTGTGGATTTTTGCTTGGGAATCTATGGTGACCGTCAATAATACAGCGTTCATTTCAATAAACAATTTTGGAATATTTTTACAATTTTTTTCTTCTTCTTATTTTTGCGTCCGACCTTCGATAACTCCATTTAAATATTTCTGAAATAGAATTAAGTTCCATTTTGGATTTGGAAAATTTCGGACTACGAAAAAAATATCGCGAACACACACACACACAGACACACACACACACACACACGCATATATGAGAAAAGCAAGTTGATATTAGCGAAGAAGTAGGGAAAAAATGAGGCATAATTCACGTATGTTCAATTGTCGTTTGTTTATTCGGTTGTTCGACTCAGAACGTGCCAAAAAATATTATGTGTGTGTGTGTGCGCGGCTTGTTGTGATAAATGACATCTGGCAACATACAAACAGGTTTTGTTACAAACCGAACATTTGTGTACAACGCAACGAATCCCGCAAATACACGTCTCTCATGGAATTCTGAAGTGTATTCTTTTAATAGCCTCTTATGATGATTTGCTCTTATATTCCGGCATACATCGTGGCATTGTCGATGAAATGGATGAGAGATGCTGACTTTGCAGCTATTTAACCGGTTGCGTTCATAGCCCAAAATAACAGCCGAACACAGGCCGAACTAGCAATCACATCTCATCCATAAACAAATAGTTTTCAGATTTGCCATATTTGCTTTGCTACGCACAATGATGAACATCAATTGCTATGCTCAAAGAATTTCTAAATTGATGCTGTCTTTTTCTCTGCCTCTCCACTTGATCGTTTGACACACGAAATCAAATTAAATACATATGACAATTGCTTCATATCGGAATACATTTACTGTATTCGCTAAATTCCATTCGTTCAGGTTTTTTTCTCTCTCTCTTTCTCTTTATCTCTCTCTATTCGGATTTGGGTTTTTTTTTTGCTTTGTTATTCACACCAAGAGTGTGTAACTCATTAGCAATTTACAGTGTTTGTTGCAGCAACGACGGCAACAGCAGCAGCAACAACAGCACTGTAGCTAAAAAGCCATGTCGATCAATTGAATTCAATACACACACAGTTTCTGTTCAAAGCCAAGCACAGCTTACCGGGTAAAATTGTATTGCATTTGACAATATACGTGAATTTACTTAACTACGCGAAAAAGAAACAAAAACGAGAACATGTATGTATGCAATAAATATTGACCTTTAGTGAGTTCGTTTTTATTTTAATTCTTGAAATCAATTACTGCAATTGCTGGCTGACACTTGTTTTTTCTTCTCAATCATAAATTTTATACACAATTTATTTTTTCTTCCTGTTGTTCTCTTGTGTTGATTTTGTCTCGTCGCTTGGTTGTTTATTTAACTGTTTAAGTTATCATTTCAGGCGGGTCGGGGATCAGCGGTTCAGCAGATGGAGCATGCCCAGCAGATGATATCGAATGTGCGGAACATGATCGACTCGGAATGGAAGCCATTCGATCGCTGCATCAGCAGCTTGATGACGATGACAACGGCAACATTGATCTTTCCGAATCAGATGATGTGAGCATTTTTTCATACACACGCAATTTCTCTCTCTCTCTCTTCATTTTTGTCTTTTAATTCTTTCATTCGAAGTGTTTACGGCTAATTTTCAAAATACTTAAAAATACGAATATGAGGCGCGTGTTAATTGTTCAAGACAAGAAAAAAAATGTAGGTTTCGGTTGCGTCCGTGTACTTGTGTGACGTAAATCGTTTAAGAATCATTACCACCATTTTGAAAAAAGGTGTTTTGAGAGCACTTAAATATTGGGCACAGTATTTCCGAGAAATTGTTCAGTGGAATCCATTGAGCATAAATGCTCATTTTGAATAGTTTAAAATCATTATTTTCGACGCACTATTTCAGTCAGAGTTAAGGAGTCAGTAGATTCAGTGCCCATCCGGTCGAGATCCACCAAAATAATCATTTTTCCCACAACTGCGCAAAATCCACGAACTTTTGTTCTATTAACAAAACAAGTCCTGCATAAAAAAGGTGAAATTCTTTCGTTATAATTCACACAAAAAAATCCAATTCAGTGCTATCATCAGAGTTATTCAATTAGAGGAATCACATGCAACCTACGTCATATTGTGCCGAATTATTCACGAATCAATATTTGAAATCAGTTTTATCGCGCTGGAATATTTTCTGGATATTACCATTCACGCGATAGCACTGCTGTTGTGCTTTGTGAGAAGCGAACGTTCTTTTTTCGCTATTGTGCGGTTTTAATAAACGCTTAAATTAAGCTTTTGTTTACATTTGACACAATTGAACGGCGGTTTATCGGCTCTTTCATTGCCAAATTAAAGTCAATTTATGAATATTTGTGACGTAAATTACGAATGTTGACATCATTTTTTTCTACTGTCGCTAAAATTACTTATGAAAAACACCGCACACACAGAGAGAGACCATGGCAATTTTATTGAATGATCAATTCAAATTGATCGTGGCTTATAGATTTACACCTTTAACGTATTCCAATATGTCATGCCAAATGGTTATCATCCCAAGAGCATTCGTTTGTAACGAAATAATTTCTCGCATTGACATTTTTTTCACTTCTCTTTGAACAGACCCATTTCGTTCATAAGAAAAATCTCAAACAGGAATGTTTGAAATTACGTCCACGAAAAAGCCGCTAAGCTTGAACAAAATGTTGATAAGAGTAAGAATGTGGCTTTTGTACCACGTTCAACGAGATTCTTTCGCAAATGTACTAAAGGCTGTAATTACCTCTCTACTACAATCAATTTCATTTTTTTTCTATCAACGATTAAATCATCCAATACACATGATGATTATTGAGTGAAAATATTTCTGAATTTCGCACGTTTCCAGTGATAATACTCACACAAAAGGTGTCATAATATTTGACACGAGCTCTTCAAACGAAAAAAAAAACAATTTATCAATTTTCCAACGAAATTCATTTATTTCACTTCAGGTGTATGCGTTGAAGCGAGAAAAAAGCAACGATTTGAGGAAGGAATAAAAATGTCAAATCATGTGGCATTGCAAGCAATCATTTTATCGTTTATTAGCATCAGTTCATGTGTATCTTTGTTATTAAAACGCAATCAGCACAACTAATCGAAAGTTTTTTTTTACTACTTTTGTTGTTATTGCCGCCGCACAAGTACGCCAAAAATGTCAGAAAAAGAGATTCCGTGCAAAAACGCGCCAGTTAAATTTCATCACAAGAATAAATGATATAAATGGAATTTCAATCACCACATGTGATTAAATAAACACTATTTGAAAAAATAAACGATAACGCCGACAGGTAGTTCAAATAACTGCTAAATTGAACGCAAATTTACATGTTTTGCTGGAATCGCGCGATATCGCGGAAATGTTTTTTTTGAATTTCTGACCACAATAGCCAATTGAAGATAATTTTCAATTTGATTCTTTCCAAAATTACGCATCTCATCAAAATGCCGAATTATTTTTACTCACACACTGAGTTGGCGCTCTTTTTTTCAACCCACATTAATTACAGCTTGACGATATGGTTCTGCGCTAAACAATGTCTGAATCGTTCATTTAATTAGTCAGGTGGGACAAAATAAACGTCACACGGTAGCATTCATTCAATTGTTGTTATCATCATCATCATCGTCCGTCGTCATCGCTGGTGACTCGGTGAATAATGAAAAACGACTTCCATACAAATACAAAAAGTGTCAGTTGTTTCGTGCAATTATTTTTGGCGAACGAGTTTTTCGCACAGTTTTGCTTCCGTAAGTGGTCAATCATTCGTCAAAATACAGCAAAAATATTAGCTATTTTTCCATGACATTCAGTTCTATTTTGAAAGCCGGGATTGCAACTTCGTTTCGAACCGATTTCCAATAGCCAGACACTTTTTTTTGAAAGTTTTCGTTGTGTTTTTGAAAGAAAATTCCTTTTTCTTCTTCTTTGAATAATTTTTGGGGCGTGTTTTTTTGTTGCTGTCTATTTTTAGTTCTTACGCGAAGAGTTGAAATACGATTCAGGTTACGAGAAAAGACATAAAACCTTTCATTACAACGATGATACACAGATCTCGGTGAAGGAATTGTGGGAAGCTTGGCTGCGGTCTGAGGTATACAAATTAGCGATCATGTTTCCACACATTCGATTTTGATTGACTGGTGGTTTTGCTGCCTATTTCATTCACTCTAGGTTCACAATTGGACGGTAGAACAAACAACCGATTGGCTGGCCGAAAGTGTTCAATTGCCGCAGTATGTTGAAATATTCCAAAAACACAAAGTAAACGGTCAAACATTGCCAAGGTGAGTGTAATCTAATTATTGTAGTCTTCAGTTTTTTTTTTCTTACTCTTTTACACACTGGAATCAAAACATTCCTTTCGGATGACACGCAAACAGCCGTGCATTTAATTGAATTTACGTGCAAACGAGGAACTTTAAACTGAACAACAACAAATGTTGACATTGATTTTGAACACAGAGACATGCATCGATTTTCTATTTGCACACCCCAATGGAATGACTCGTTTCACGTGCGATCAATTCTATCCAAAGTCATCTGCACTCAGTTGTATTGTCGCCCAGTTTAGTCAATGACTTTTGACAATTTAATTTCGACGAAAATCGTGTCTTTTGCATTTAAGTGTCGATGTTTTTATCCAGATCATTTAAATTGGTTATAATCATAATTAACTTTTGAGTAATGAACACAATTAACATATTCTTAACCGAAGGAGTGGACAGATTTATGGAGATTTAGATCATCTGTTTTTATGTGAATCCATACCAGTCGTATTTTATTGTCTTGAAATGACACATGTTTGAACCTAAACATCAACCAAAGTGTTTCGTGTTGAGTGTTTAATTTACTGTTTAAATGTATAATCAGAAAAATTTCAAAGCAATTTCAACGACACTTCAAACAACTAATTGAAAAATTAATAAAAAAATCAAATAATAAAATTGTTTATTTCATTTACAGACTTGCAGTACATAATATGCACTATGTGAGTAATGTACTAGGCATTCGTGATCCAATTCATAAGCAAAAAATCGCCTTGAAGGCTATGGATGTTGTACTATTTGGTCCACCAAGAGGTAAATTTCTCTAAAGCAAACGTTTTTAGCTTCTTTTTTCATCCATTTTTTTGCATTTTTTGGAAGCTTTACGATTGCTCAGAATGAGCTAATGTAGATAATGCTCAATCCTGTAGCTTAGTTGTAACTGAGCCGAATTTAATTTTAAATTTTTCCATTCTTTGAACACTTTTTTCAATTGGTGAATTTTGTTCTCATTTTTCATAATTACTTTCATCATACTTCTCGTTCTACATCAACCCTAAACATCAACCTTTTTTGTTCTTCTTCCAAGAAACTGGCACTCGTTGGAAGGATTATATTTTGGTGACTTTACTATTAAGTGCAATTATTGGCTGTTGGTACGCATATCAACAGAATAAAAGTGCGAAACGTCATTTACGGCGGATGGCCAAGGATATGGAAGGTTTGCAGAAAGCAGAAAATGCACTGGCTGATATGCAAAAAGTAAATAAATTCAAAAGTTGCTACTCTAATTTTTATCCCTTAAATCATTGAAAAAAAAATCTGAACCGTGCTCTGTACTGAATTCAGTTTCAGTTTCAGTTTCGGTTGTATGTGACACTAGGCCTTAAAAATCTTATTTGCATCCAAAAAAAAACCATTTATTCATTCAACCCCAAAATTGATTATCTCATCCATTTGCTAGGAATTAGAACAAGCGCGATTAGAACAAGAAAACGTAGCGACTGAAAAGCTGGACTTGGAACGTCGTCTGAAGGAAGCACCGTCATTGTCCTCGTCCAGTTCGGATTTGGAAGTGCAACAATTGAAAGCGGAAATCGAAATGTTGCGCTCCGAATTGTCACGTGCTGAAGTGGAATTGGTCGATCACTGTTGGACACCACCACCAGCTCTCCAGTCGTGGCTTCAATTAACCTACGAACTTGAAAGTAAACATACACTCAAAAAGCGTATAATGGCCGAAAAGCAATTGCAAGCCGCACGTGACGCGTGTGAAAAATTGAAGCGAAAACGTAGCAGTTTGGTGGGTGCGTTTGTGTCAACGCACGGCAAAAGCATCGATGATGTGGATCGAAGCATTGTCGAAGCGAGAAACGCACTCAGTGAAGTGACCAATGAGCTGCAGGAACGGTTGCATCGTTGGAAACAAATCGAATTACTATTGGGTTTTGGCATTGTCAATAATAATGGCATTGCCTACCTAGAGAGTGTACTATATAATCGTAACGGATCCGGCAAATCGCTACGATGTAAGTGCTCTTCCAATTATTCCTAATGATGTGAACAATTTAAGTTTAATTCTTTTTTTATATCCGTCTCTTAATGTTGATTCACTTCCTTTTAACAGCACGAATTTCAGGAAGCCAAGATGAATTAGACGATGAATCGGTTCAAGGTAAGCATCACTTTGACAACTTTTCTATATTTTCCTCCGAATAATGTCCGAAATTGTCAGTGTGATTGTTTATGCGGGATTATTTATCAGCCGATCGATCACTTAATGCGTAACACATGCAATATACACCACAAAACACATCAAAATAGAACATAAAGACAAACTTTTTGTACAATTTAAGAGGGGTGTTCTTAGCATTTTGACCAGAGAAAAGAATGAACCATTTTTTTTTATCGACATTTTTTTTTCTTCTTGTAGATCATTAGTTGATCGAAATCTACGTGTTAATTATTTAAGCAACTGATTAAACAAAACATCAAACATTACACTTAATTTTATTGAAATATTTTTTTTTCTCTTGGTTTTAAGAAATTTTTGAAACAATTTTCCTTGTATCTAAATTTTCCCATTTAATTATTATTACTTTTATTTTGCTTCTAAATTTAAAATTGGATTTGTATGCAATTTGAACTTAAAATTTGGTTTGATTCACGACTTTTTTTTCCAGCATTTATGTTTGGTTATTTTCGATTTGAACATTTCGAATTTGCTTCCATTCAAATCATAATGTTAAGTGAATCTCGTTGCTATAATTTTATGACTTAATTTTTGTTTGTTTGTTTATTTCTATCTAATGTACAACTTACCCATACAATTTTCCCCAGAATTGGATCAAACTTAATGAAGTTACTCGATTTTAATTGCTAATTTGTTTTAGCCCCACAAAAATGTGTATTTATCAATCCTATAATTTGTCTTGGACAATTTTTTTCCTTTTATTTTTGCTAATTTAGAATTTTAGTTTAGATGTAATTAGAACTTTTACCTCATCAAAATTTTTATCGTTCGGGATGTAGTTTTTTGGTAGAGTTAAAAAAATTAAACGAATAAATTTGAATCGCCCTGTGAAACAAAAAAAAAGAATCACAAGAAGCACAAAATGAATCACAAGAAGCAAATGACAACATTTGGCATACATACAAATGGCGGCAAATGCCATTCACCAAATCATTTTATGTGTCACTTCCATCGTTCACTAACCAGACAAAAATCAAAAAAACAACAAAACACCATTTGAATGTCTTGATGTTCCAAAAATGTGTCGCTTTTCTTTTCGTCCCCCCTCACTGTGCTTCTCGAAATCTAAATTTCGCAGTATCTTTGACAGAATATTCGCCCGTTTTCCTCACTGATCGTCTTCTCTACGAGTCAAATTATCAGTGCTATTAAAATCGAACAGAATTTTACAAATACAAATTCGCCGGTACTTAAACTAACAAATTTGATAGAAAATGGACTTAACGGAATGGTATCGATGAATTGGGGCGCGATTTTGTCTGCTATTCACACATATGTGATCAATGCTTTTCGTTACCCGAACAAAAAAAAACACACAAAATTTAAACGCAAAAAATCGATGTAATCGAGAACTATACAGATTTTATTTTTCTTCTGGAATTTAGTTGAATTTCGTAAAAGTTCTACTAATGTTTATGCTCTGCTTTTTATCAAATAAGCGTATAAAAGACTTGTATCCAACTCATAAAACATTTTTATTACGACAATACATATGTATAAAAAAAACCTTTTTTTGAAAACTGATTCTTTTTTTCTTTTATTTTTAGTTTTAATGTGTAGATGAAACCGATTCGTTTTTTTTATCTCAATCACAAGATCAGGTGTAGCAAATAGTTTGAATTTTTTGTAAATTTTTTTTTATTCCATATTTTATTGGATTATTCCAAATTATTCGATTAATTTTTTTTATTCGTTTGTAATTTAAATCATATCTAACTTCGAATTTGTACAGTAGGCTCGAACATTTTAATTTGAAAATTGCTGAAACATCGACATCTTTTGTAAATAATTGTCGCATATTCGGTTTAAACAGCTCGTGGGGTCTCTCTTTTATGATTCGGTATGCTTGTATGTTGGGGAAGTGAAATGATGCCTTGTTGGTTTACTATCATTGCTTTTACATATGTTGGGTCTTCGATTCCTATTTCAAATTAATACGAGGTACTATAAAATCGGATTTTTTTAAGATGGAATATTTTCTTGTTTATGGGACACATTCTAATTTGGAATTTCTAAGAAGGAACATATGTTCAAAATGGGCACTTTATAAAAGGGAAAGAATGAAATATTCTAAAAGAATGGGAAATATTCTGGAAAAATTGGTTATATTCCTTTTGAACAGAGACAAAATTGGTTGGCGAGGTAAGCATCGTCACTGCAACTGCGAAGGGAATATACCGTACGTTTCACATGATACCACAATTGGCCATTATCAGAACATTGGATTAGCTCACACAGATCTCTAAAAGGTGTTACACAAAATTTCTCGAAAAAAAATACACTAAAAACTGTACAGTAATATAATAATTGTATATGGCAAATGTCAAATGCAAAGCAACGAAATGCTCAGTTTTGAATAAATACAGCCGCCAGATGGATACAGATGCGATTCACGCGTGAACTTAAAAAAAACACTGAACAATACTGCACTGAAACATCCACAGGGTCAAATTGGCGAGCATCATTTGTGCTAACTTTGCAATATGAACAAACCGTGAACACGCACACTTAATAACTGGAAATGACATTCACAAAACGCTATATACACATATATTCAAAACTGAGCATTTGGTTGATTCATAATGCATATGCAAATAAATGTACAAATCTGAATGCCGGCAATAAATTACTAACACAATCGCAACCAAAGTAAATATTCGCACTAACACAAAGCTCAAATATTAATTGTTCACAGCTTTTGGCTCGTTTTATGCATGTATGTTTAAGTTTGAAGCAAAAAAAATGCCACGAACAAACAAAAACCTATCAAAATCCAAAGCCAGTGCCTTATAACGTAGGATAGTTGGGTGTGATGTAATGAGATTCACTGGAATGAACAATGGAGTTCATTGCGTGAACCGCAATTAGGAATTAAAGAAATCGTATGAATGAATTGCAAAGAAAAAGAAGCGAAAAAACAACAACAACAAAACCTTTCACTTGTGTATAGTAAATATGTGTTAAAAGTCTCTTCATCGTTTTGTATTCCATTTTCGTATTCAATTCAGGGTTCATGCTAGATAATCATGGTCGTTACGCACGCGATGATTCATCCGCCAGTGATGATGGCGGTGATTCGCAGTCAACCGTTTTTATGATTGGAAGTGGTGAATATTTGAATCAGACACCAGTTGTAACCTCGCAAATTCAAACGCCAAACAATGTGGTGACTGTGACCTCAGTACCACTCATAAATAATAGCATAGCTTCATCGCAATCAAATAATAACATCGCCGTTGCTGCAGCCACCTCTATTAATTCAAATAACTTTTCGAATTTAACGCCGGCGCACAGTGTCAGTGCACTCCCAACACCACTGATTTCAAGCGAAAGGTTAGTTCCGCGCTCAACTCAAGCTCAAAACTCATTTGGCGGATTTTATTCTTTTCGTTCCAACAAATTTTCCGCTCATTTTCTGTGGCAAATTAATTTTCTGCTGTTTTTTTTCTCTCTCTCTATCTCTCTATCTCTCATTTTGTTTCCATTTCGACTCCCATTTTCATTTACTTTCATTCTTTTTCCCCTTCTTTAATCAAAATCAAAATCAATGAAGCAATTTGACAATGGTCAAAGAGGAGAATCGTCAAAGCACAATTTCCTTGCAAGACAAAGTGGCACCATTGCCACGCAACAAGAAATCAACATTTGCTTCTAGCGGAACGCTTACGAACCGAACAACACCAATGCCACCACCAAGACGTACCAATTCACAGCAGAGGTTTGTTTTCATTTAATTTTTATCTTTCCTTATGTTTTGTGTTTTTATTTTTGTTATGTTTATCCCGGTCAGAAATGTCTCCATTTTCATTTGTTTTGTGTACATCTTAATTTTAAATGTTTTTCATTGTATTTTATTTTCATCTAAATTTTATTGTTATTTTTTTTCTATTTTATTCCCATTTTATGTTTACCCAATCAATTTCCTCGCCTTTTTATCCTTTTAATGGGTTTTAGAACGTTTTGTTGGTGATGGGTGATTATGATGGTTATAATTTATTGTTGTACTTCGATGCTCCTTTTAATGGTGAAGTTTTGGGTTTTTGGGATGACAAGTGCATGCTTAGTTCGTCTTGCTCTTTGTTTTGGGTGTAATTGTCATTTTGGCTGTTTAATGAACGCTTGAACTGTTTCGTTTTCATTTCTCCGTATAAACTGTGATTGTTCTTTATGTCTTTCGTTCTGTTCTATTCTGTTAACCATTATTTTGTAATTGTTTCATTACAAAAGTGTCGTTGTGTTTTAATCTCTGCCAGAATTCAGCGCAATCTGACATCAATTTGAACTGCGTTCGTGCTGTGCGCAGTGAGCACTGACCTATGTTTAGCAAGCGAATAAAATAGACAGTACACTAAATCGAAAACCGTAAGAAATTATCATTATTGGTTCACAGTCAATGGATGTGTGCAATTGGCGAGATTCATTCGAATATGTTCATATAATTATCCATTAGAAGAGTCATGATTTTGGCGCACTTTTAGTGCATGCTTGGTAGAGAACGAGAAATTGCCATTTTCATTGAATGACAAAAGCTAGGGGGATTTAACTACGTGAAAACTTGTAAAAAAATGATATAAACGCGCACGAAATTGTTACATTCACCAGAGAACTTGCATGATTCCACTCAGTTGACAAGTTCCGTATTAAAACAACATGCGCGAACGCGCGCGAGTTCGTGTGCAAACTTGAAGCTGGACGACGCGCACACATCAGTCGTTCCATTTATTATATCTGGATTAACTTTTCCAACACTTTCTCCAGCTCTTTAAAAATATTTCCTTTGTCCATTTTATAATTATATAAATCTTTCAACTTTTGGAAAGGATGTGAAAAATCTTTATACACGTAAACAAGCAATTTTTAGTTTGAAACGCGTTTTGGTTGTCAAATAACAACTTGAAAAACGCGCAAAACCATAAACAAACTTGTGTAAACTTGTGACCGTGCGCGTCAGTTCGTACAACGAACGCGTCGAACTTCCGCGAATCAAGCAAACTGGCAGAAAACATGCTGAACTCGTAAGAGTTAAATTCCCCTAGGACAAAAGCCAATAACAATAATTTCATACGTTTATTTGTGTAGATTAAGTAAAAGAGACATAAAATAGAAATTGTAACTAATCGAGTAATTCATACAAAATTTTCTCATCGTAACCAAATGATAAATTCAAAAATTGGCCAAATAAACAAAAAACGTCAAAATTATTGTAGTGAATCTCATATTGTGACATTGAAAAAAGAACACCACACCATTTGTTCGTTATGTTAAACCAAATTTTTCTTGTAATTTTTGCAGCATCGTCTTCAACCATCTTCTCAGGTCTCAAAGCGCAGACGTGGAGTCCATGGAGCCCACATCATCAATCGCTTATCAATCGAACCAAATCAACGACAACTATCAACAACAAAGGTCTATCGAATCTCAGCAGCAGCAACAGCAACAACAGCAACAACAACAATTGGACGACAACTCAACCGATTCGTCGAGCATCGATGACGAGCTCAAGAAGCGCCGACGAAAATTGCGCTTCCCGTTTGGAAAGAAAGCCTTTCAAAAGAACAAACACATTTGATACCGGACTTTTATCATCGGCCATAAAAATCGAAACACCAAAAAAATCGAGCACGAACGACAATAGCTGCGACGCCGACAGTCGATCCTCTTCATCGTCATCGTCATTGTCTTTCGTGGAAAAAGCGGGCAGCCTCGAAAATGTCTCAACACGTAGCAATCCATTTTAGAAATTTAGACAATTCTCTTTTTTTTTATAAAGACATTTTTGCATCGCAGATAGGGTCGTACTTCGATTTTGGGGACGGTTTTTTGTGAGCACGAATTGACCGGATGTACATATTTTCTATATTTGGGAGATTCAATTATAAACAAATCTACTAAGAAGAAAGAGAAGAAAAAAAAATTTGCACAATTTCTTAATTAAATTAATAATTCCGGTCATATTTTTGTTCTTGTATAAATTGGAATTCGTCATATTGATTTTTATCTATACAGAATATTTATTCAAACACATTTTTTGATCTTGTTATCTAATTTTAATCATTTGAATGAGCTGAAAATGCACGGAATATTAGGGAAAATGATTGAAACATCATGACTGACATGTTATAGTAATGTGATTCAGGTTTTCCAAAATTCGAAATAATCCTGTATTGTAATGTGCAAACCAATTGATGATCATGGGATAAAAACATAGACATAATTTCGTATCTACACAGAAATCGATTGTTGACACAAAATGACCAACCGGTAGATTAATTTGAGACTTCACGATTGCGTTTGACCTGATTTGATGACAAATCTGATGTACCAAGACTTCGTACTTAAAAAAAAAAATCAAACTTAAAATTAAAGACGACAATAAAAATGAAATCATCAAAACAAAAGAAATCAATCGCTCACACTAGTGAGAATGATAATTGCGTTTGACTCGTGACCTTTTCAACGACATAGTATTTTCAATGGATAATTTTGTAATTTGAAAACGAAAATCAGCGTGAATTTCCTCGAGCTAGGAACCAATTCATTCATGGAATCCACGTTTGCGCTTGAATCATTGAAAATACTATCTTATCGAAAAGATCACGAGCCTTATTTCATAAAATGTTCCCTGGCTCGAACACATTAATGCCCCCAATCCAAAAATCAAAAACTAAAGAAAAAAATGTTCATTTGTACGCAAGTCTTCCCTTTCAAATTGCATGCAACATTGAAATCTATGAGGATAAAGCAACCAAAAAAACCAAAAACATACCCAACAATGAACAATTCTCTAAGTTGTAAATGTTCGGAAAGTCTTCAGAGTGAAACGTGAATTGAATATAGTTTTATATTGTGATATTTGTTCATCCAAGAACTTCATTCCCTTCAACCATTGTATACTTTTATTTTTCTCATCTAAACGGCACAACAAGAAGTACATTTGTTAAATTCACGTTTACCTATTTCAAAAGCAATTTGTTGCCGTTTCACGACATAACAAATGTATGTTATTTATTTCCAAAAAAAAAATCGGGTGTATAATTGGAATCTATAAATTTTAACCGATAAACATGACGAAAACACGTTTTAATTGTGCGAATAGGTTGAATTTCGTTTCTCTTCCCTGTAAATTAGACAGGTGTCATTTGATAATAAGTGAACATTTGTTCAAAAACGTGTGTTCAAAAACGTTGAAGTTGACTAAGTCTGAACGCTATCTGTACCTGCGTCTTGCTTGTTTTTCTGAAAATTCTACAAATGACTACTAAGAACCACACATAAAATCATTTTGCCAAATTTCTGATTTCAAAAAACCCACAAAGCTTTGCAGCACTGCCAAAACCGTGTTTTCGTCATGTCTGCTGAATACTTCCTACTTGTTTCAAGAATTTAACTTTCGAAATTTAAATGACACAAACAACGAATTCGACTTAAAACCTTTACTTTTAACATAACACACAAAAAAAACAACAACTAATTAACAAACATTCTGTGGAAACAGGTGTCTGCATACTTAAATTGAACTTTAATTTTTATTTTAAGACAAGAGAATGACAAAAAAATATCTATTGATAATGATCATGGAAAATAAAATGCCTTCAATTTTTAACCGCTGCTTATCTTCATTTATTGAAAATCAATCTTTGACTGCCTTTGATTGCATAGACCACGAAGAGAGGATACTTTGGAAACGAATTTTACAAGGTAAAAGGGACGTACTTCACCAAAAATCAATTGAAATTAATGAATATTCTTTTTTAAGCTGAATTTGCATGAATAAATCAATTTCAAGATTCTTAAGATGTATATAAATTGATGAGACGATCTGCCTCGCGCCATCCCGATTCAACCGCGCCATGTACACTTGAATAGTACTTGGTGTTAGTGGCCTCTCCAGCGAATTGTACAACAGGTTTGCCACTTGAGTCATCTATTGATTGAGCAAGTTTCTGACAATTTGCACCTAATGCCTCTGCTTTGAGAGTGTAGCAAGCGCCAGCTCCACGAAATAGGGGATTCGAATACCACTTTGAGCTGCAAATTGTTTTTCGTATTTTTAATGTCTTATTAAAATAAGCGTTTTCTATGCTTCATTTGCCAAAATGTTCAATTCAAATGTTAAACCTTACCGAACCATGGTTTTGGCATCAGGAATGTTCCATTGTTTCAAGAACATTCGAAGAACCCTTTCGGCCCCTGCTTTGACATCGGCATCACTCTTAAGTTCCATTTTTTGTGCTCTTTTACCAACAATCCAACCACAAATCACATTTGGTTGAAGCGGATTGAATCGATAAAAACTAAATAATCCGTCGAGCCAATCTCCGTTTACTGGATCCGCTTGCACTTCTTTCAATTGCTCCAGCTTCCACAAGAGAGAAAATCCATTCCAATCTTCGTTCCAAAATGGTTTGTCGAACTCTAAATAGATTTTGTCCAGAGCTCCAATCATCATTCCTTCGATGCTATCAATTTTCCACAGGGGCAACAATGGCTCAAACATGTTCAAATGATGCTCTTTCAGAACACCTAACGAAACCGTGCAAATCACATGATCACCGGAGTAGGAGCTACCGTCTTTGCATTCGATTTTTATGGTGCCATCAGGTTGATTGTAGGCAATTTTCCATACCTCCTTATTGAATTCAATCAATGGATTAACATCGATCACTGGCTGTGAGGTTTTGCCACCAGAAATTTTATTCTAATAACAAAAAAGGTGATTGTGAGTGGAGTTCATTTTCAATATTTTTTTTTTGTTGAAAATTCTCATACCTGCAACAAATTAAAAACCGTTACATAACCTTTGTCCTTCCAATTCATGCTGAAGTCACCGTCACAATTTTCACGGCCATGCACATCGCCTGACGTGTCATACCATGTTGTGCCAAGTCGCAAGTTTGTCATTTTATGAAACAAATCGTGAAGTTCACGGGCCACCTCAGCACTAACCTCTTTATATTCTTCGGTACCAAGCGCTTCCTTGTATCTTTGAATTCAAATAGATTTTTTTTTTGAAGTGTCATTAACTATAGGTAGGACCAAATTACTGTTGATGATGGAGTTGTTAATCATTCGTACATATTTGATCGATGATTCAATTTACACAGTTGTCACAGTTACTTACTTTTTTGCAAAATAATTCCCATAAGATCCATGATGCGAGGACTTTTTATCTCTATTAATCGAAGAATTATAGATGCTTTCCATCAAACTCAAGAGTTTTTTTGTTAGTTCACTAGGGATTTCTTCACCATTAGATCGAACAAATGTTGTCGAAAAGTCCTCTTCATTGCTATGTGCCAAGACGTTTTTGTCTTTGGCCATTTGATAAACGACGTTCCCGTTTTCACCATGGCAACTTTTTGGAATGAACACACGTTTGTTAAGAAGTTCAAGTATGATAATTAGGCAAAAATAGCAAAAGACTGTACTCAAATCTACTGTAGTGGTTAAAAACTCAATCAAAAGTAAACAATCAAACGATGCAACAACGACAAATTAAAAATGTTGAAACTAAAAATGGGAATTCCCACAAAAAGACAAGAAAAATGACAAACCATTGAGCTCCCATATCGACAACATTTGCTCCAAACGGAATAGTGTTGATTCGTCCCCCAATGCGATTTCCACCTTCTAGAATTGTCACTTGCTTAAATCCATTCGATACGAGTTTTGTAGCCGCTGCCACTCCTGAAGCACCTGCTCCAACAATAATAATTCTTTTGTTCATGATCTCACAATCAAAAAATTCACTTCTTTACAAACAACAAACTTTCCATAAAATACAAAATTTATATAATGAGGCCACAGTAAGAGACAGCAAGATTTGATTAGAAAACACATATGTTCCGTTTATTATTATCAACTATTACAGAATATTTTACACTTTATCAGTAACTGATTAATGTACATACAGTATAACTCTGATTATCAGGCATCGAACCAGCATTTTGACGGATAATCAAAGTTTTTACGTTTTATTTGCGCCACTCAAAATTGAACAATCAAAGAAATTGCAGTTGCACTTTTTGCGATTTTGTTATGTTTTCGTTTTTCTCCAATGTTAGAACGGAGGTGACAGTTAAACGAGAGACGAATAATTTGGGTTCCACTGTAATTAGTTTGAACGTGAACAGATCACATATGTATACATATATAGATATACATATTAATAGGTCATAGCATTGTGAGAACGCTCATTGGAGGGTTTTAGTTTACTCTTTTAAGCCTAGTTTACAGTTTGATACCAAACTTATTTGAAATTCAACTGAGCCAAAAATCGGTTCTGAAATATTCATGAAATTTTTTTCTTCATCGAACAGTAAGCCAGGCTTTAAGCTTGAAAAATATCAAATGAAAATAATAAAATGTACAACTGAGTGCGGTTTTCATAATCCAACGATTCGATGCCCATCTGTTTGCAAATGAAAAGTCAATCTCTTAATAACCGCACTCAATACCGATACATGAAAAGTACAAAAAGGCGAAGAGAATGAACGAGAATGATGCTCGAGAGACATAAGCTAGAATGCTCTCATTTGCATCGCCTTGAATACACAATCGCTGTTTCACCAAAATATTATTAAAATAATCGCATTACTGTTCTATGCATTTATGGCGGTATAAAATACATGCTACCTTATCACACACCATCCTTCGGATTATCTTGCGCTTCTTCATGCTACGGTATCCGTTGTAGGTAAAAATGTAGAACGGGGCAAACTTTCGTTTCGAACTTGGGGATTAAAATGGTTCGAAAGTGTGATCGAGGTAACAGATCTTCCCTAATGACCGTCTGTGTCAAAAATCTTTAATGCAAATTCGGTGAATATTGCTTCGCTCACTACCACAGCGCCCAAAGGAAACAAAGTAGAATGCGTTTAACGTCGAGGACATTTTTTATAACTAGGCCGATGGATGAGATAACCGGTATCAGTATCGTTCAGTCAGCGAGCAAGAGAGTAACTACTCAGCAACCAATAGACGAAAAAAAAAGTTAAACAGAATACTTGTGAAAGAAAAGTTACAATTTTAAACGTATTTTCAAACAAGTAAATTAGTGTTAGGAGTTCATTCGCAGTACTTCATTTTGAAAGAATCAACAAGATGAGTAAGATGTCAAAGAATAAATTGAATCTAACATTGCCGCCGAGTGTAATGGATGCATCGAATCCACCGAATATTCCAGCGCCGCCACCATTCAATATACCGTCCAGTGCAGATCGACCGAGTTTACTAAATGAATCGAGCGGTAGCGGTAGCATTGATACCATAACATACACGCTTGATGAACTGCATGTCGACGAACATGCATTGAACCGAATCAAAATCTTCCTGAGCCAAAGAGAGCAGATGGGCGAAATTCGTGACGAAGACTTGGAAAAACTCGGTGAACTGGGATCGGGCAGCGGAGGTGTTGTGATGAAAGTACGCCACATACCCACTCAGTTGATTATGGCACGAAAAATGATCCACATAGATCTGAAACCGCAAGTTAAAAAGCAAATTATTCGAGAGCTAAAGGTTTTGCACGATTGTAATTTTCCGCATATAGTTGGTTTCTATGGTGCATTTCAGGCCGATAATGAGATCAGCATTTGTATGGAATACATGGATGGTGGTTCATTGGATTTGATTTTGAAGCGTTCTGGCCGCATTCGCGAACCGATTCTTGGGAAAATTACGCTAGCCGTTTTGAAGGGATTGACCTACTTGCACGATCAACACGCGATTATGCATAGAGACGTAAAGCCAAGCAACATTCTGGTGAACAGTAGTGGTGAAATCAAACTCTGTGATTTCGGTGTGTCCGGGCAGTTGATCGATTCTATGGCAAATTCATTCGTTGGCACACGCAGCTATATGTCCCCGGAACGATTTGGCGATAGTAAATATTCGGTGCAATCGGACATTTGGTCATTGGGTTTGTCACTGATTGAAATGGCCCTTGGCGTTTATCCAATTCCACCGCCTGATCCGAAATTAATAGATCAAATACTCAGCGGAAGCTCGAATCAACCGCCGCCAAAACCAAAATTGATGGCCATTTTTGATTTGCTCGAATGCATCGAACTTCAACCGCCTCCACGTTTGGAGCACAAAAGCCTTTCGCCAGAATTTACGGATTTCATTGATAGATGCTTGAAAAAGGATCCAAATGAACGTGCCAATCTCCAGACACTATTGGAACATCCATGGATCAAGAAATACGAGCAGGAATATGTTGACATTGTCGGTTGGGTTTGTAGTACAATGAATTTTGACGATTAATTTAATCGAATGTTTGAACTATCAATCAGTAACATCATTTTATTGTCAGAATTATTTTTCTTAAATTTCATTTCAATAAATAATACACAAAAATATACACCAAGTTTTTTTCTCGTATTGTTCCAGTAAGAAACATTATTCCTATTAGGTTTTCCCAATCACTTTTAACGAATTCAATTAATTTTCTTATTATTGTCGATAATTCTACACACTTACTTTATACTTTGACATATCATTTCAATAAAAACTCTGTAAAAATAAGTTTTAAATTTTTTTTCTCGGATTTTGAACTAAAAATAGTTCCTAGTTCTTGTTATCATGGCACACAAGTTTGTTTCTGGATGACAGAAAATTCAATGACATGGAAAAAAATGTCTTGAATTGTTAATCGCTGTTTGTATTTATGAAATGAAAATCAATAATTTTATTTTTGACTTCATGTGTGTGAGTCATATTTGGTCTCGATTGTGAGTACACAGAAAACACGCGTAATAAACATATGATCTGAAGAAATGGGTAAACCGTCCATATACATACGCACTACTATAGTAGTCTGCATTAAAAGACTGAAAGAAATTTTGGACAAAGTAGTTCGATCAATAATCGACTATATTGGAGTCATTCTTGTGGCGTCTCTACTCGCATTTAACGTCCATTGTAGAAGCTTACTTGCCAAAGTTCAAACATCAATGCGAACATATGAAAGTGGAGGAAATGACGCCAAACTGCACGAGATTATTTATCGAAAGTACAATCGAGTCAACGAAACTGAGAAACTAATCAATTGAAAATATTTTCCGCGGGAATAATATCAATTAAAGTAATAATCTGAAAATTAAAAATAGCAATTCTGTCATCAGACTGTTTACGCGGTTATTCAAAGTTTATTTCTATTTTCACTTATTCTTTAAACCGGCAAGTTTGTTGGCAATTGTCTGTTCGTGACTTTCAAGGCGATTCATGTTCATCACATGGTTTTTAGTTGAAATTCGATAAACTGTTAATAATTTATGTATCCGCCCATGAAAGGTGGTCACGATAACATCAGCGAGCCACAATGACCGTTATAAACCATTTGATTTTGAAAAGGCTATACCTTTATTATGCACACGTCATCAATGAATAAAAGACTGAATTCGACCAACGGTTGATGGATAAAATTGAAATTTCTCAATTTTCAGTTTTGATGACGGAACGGTCGTGTTAACATCAATTTGAAATTGGTTGAGAAAGTCATGTCCGCTACGTATTTCGATGCAGATACTAAAGTATGGAGTGGTTTCTATTCACCGATTGTATTTAATCCAAAAATTTCATTGGGTCATGCTATTCTGTGGACATTGGACAAAAATCCGCATAAAATACTACAGGTGATTGAAAATGTGATAAACGACAAATTGAAATAGGCTTGAAATTTTTAATGCTTTATTCTTAGATCAATCATGAAACAAACATCCAGCTGACGAGTGCGTTTATGAGACGCCAAACCATTCGAGCTGCGTTTAATCTGCAAAAATTGGGCTGTGAAAAAGGTGATATATTTGGCATAATTGCTAAGAATAGCCATTATGTGGCAACGATTGTGTTTGCATCACTTTGTATTGGGTGCCCTGTGAATACGCTGGATCCATCATTTACAAAACTGGAACTCATGCACATGCTTTCAATTACCCGGCCAAAAGTGATGTTCTGTGATGCCAGCATTTATGACCTAGTGCAAGAATGTTTGAATGATCTTGAAAACGATGCAAAAATATTCACATTCAGTGGTCAGTCAGGGGATTCAATCCCAGTGGAAGACTTATTTGAAGAAGTCGAAGGCGAAGGTACATTTTGGTAAGCATGCAATAAATGAATTGAAATCGTTTTTTAATGGAAAGTGAATTGGCTTTCATGGATAAAATCTACTCTTTCCAAGCAAAAGTCAATGAAATGAAATGAAGAGAAATTTAAAGTCAAATTCAATGATTTCAGCCCAGTCGAACTTGATGGTGAAAATACAATCGCTGCAATTATTTGCACGTCCGGTAGCACGGGATTGCCGAAAGGTTTAAGAAATTAAAACATACCCCCATATCAAGCAATCTCCTCAGTTTAATCTTTATTTTTTCAATCAAATTTCAAATAAAATGATTCTTTCAGGTGTTTGCCTATCGCACGCAATTATTTTGCATCAAAGTGTCAATAGTTTTGCTCGAGAAGATGATACACTTTTAACGTTCAGCACAATTTATTGGATATCCGGTCTTTTACTCATGATTTGTAGTGCAATCAAAGGATTTTGTCGAATTATATCAACGGAACGTTTCACCCCTGAGCTTATGCTGAATATGATTGAAGAGCATCGTGTATGTGGGCGTGTTCAAAAAAAAAAGAAGTTCAATTGTTAATTTGAAAATGTCATGTTTCCAATTCCAAAAATAACCGCTCATTTTTCTTACCATAGGTAACATATTTCATGCCCGACGAGAAATTTGCGGTAAAATAGGTGTACGTCGACTATCCGTCGCATATCCGTTTTTGAGTGCGGATACTCGCAATGCGAATAGGTATCCACAATAAAAGTTGTCGCAAAATGTTATCGCTGAATACCCTGCGACTATTCGCGCTGCGATAAATGTGAAGTTGTAACTGGATCGAGTGTGACATTTTGACTTAAAACTTCGTACAACCAACGTGAAGTTGGCTGCGTTCGACGGACTTTTTCGTATTGCGACTATACGTAGAATAGTCGCAATGCGATATTCCGCAAATTTCTCGTCGGGATGAGCGCAAGTCATTTTTTGGTATTGGCTTTAAAGTGTGAGCAATTCTATCGAACGGATTTATCGAGTATTCGTGTCATAATGTGTGGTGGTAGTAAATTGGCGATAAATACAGCGTTGGAAATGAAAAAGTATTTGAAAAATGGTTCCATACTGCAAGTGTATGGAATGAGCGAGGTGGCTGGTTGTACGTCGGCTGGAACAATCGAAAAGGAAAGCGATACGTCGGTGGGGCAATTGGTGTTTGGTACAAAAGCGAAAATAATTGATGATGACGGGAATCAGCTCGGAATAAATGAACCTGGTGAACTTTGCACGAAAACTAAGTTCAAATTTCTCGGTTACTTCAATAATGAAGAAGCAACAAATAGTGTCATCGATGAAGACGGTTTTTTGAGAACTGGCGACATTGGCTATTTCGATGATGAAGGCAATCTTTTTTTGGTTGATCGGAAGAAAGACATGATGAAATACTGTTCATCGCAAATATCTCCCACTGAACTCGAGCAATATTTAATCAAAAGTCCAATCATTAAATCGGTGTGTGTCGTTGGCATCCCAGATCAAGAAGTAGGTGATCTACCAGCAGCGGTTATCGTTCAAAATGATAACGAAACGCCCATTACAAGCGACGAAGTCGAACAAATGATTACGAGTAAGTATTGTATATCATTTTGCATACATCATACCACACGCATGAACACGTTTAACGATGATTATTTTATATTTGATTGTTTATTCAGATCATTTTGCGCAGAGAATACTTACCGATGAATTCATCATCGATAGATGAATTTATGCGATAAATTTATCAGATAAATCCTATGCGTTGCGTTGTTCTAACGCATTTGCAGTATAAATTCCTCTTCGTTTTTATACTGCAAATGCGTTAAAACAACGCAACGCATACGATTTATCTGATGAATTTATCGCATAAATTCATCTATCGATGATGAATCCATCTGTAAATATACTCTGATTTTGCGTACGTCATACCACACGTATGAATATACTATATAGAAACTGCAATGACCCCACACCTTGCGGCGCAATAATAAAATAATCCACGTGTAAGCTTGACTATGTTCATATATAGACATCCGTCTGAAGTGCTTCACTTCACAAGTCAGGCTTACTCGCGAAAAGTGCATGAACACGTTTAACGATGATTCTTTTATATTTGATTGTTTATTCAGATCATTTTGCGGACTACAAGCGATTGCGAGGTGGTGTTTATTTTGTTGAATCATTGTCGCTGACTCCCTCGGGGAAGGTGCTCCGACGGTGTGTCAAAGAAATCGCTATCAAACTATACAATGAAAAACATGAAACAGACTTCCTTGCACACTCCAAAATCGAAGTCACATGCTCTCCATTCGAACATGTATAAAATTGCAAAAATACATGTGTTTTCATTAAAATTCTTTGCTGATGCATTCGAAGTTGTTCATTTTAAAAACGTGCAAATCATTGTGAACACCGATTTTAATCATACTCTCGAGTAACTCAATCGAACGATTGTTTGTTTCAAAACAGTATTTGTTGTAATTGCATAATTTTTGCGTGTTTCAATGTATTCAGTTAATTATACAGTTGCACATCATTACTGCCATACAAAACTGCTGCATTGAGAACTGAATAGTTATTTCAATAAAAGGCTAATTTGAAATGGGAGAACTTTTTTTTTTTAAATTGCGACACAATTTCCGTAATTCATTCCAAGGAACAACATTCTGCGCTCCATATATTAGCTATTTTATAATGACTTGTATCGTGTATCGCTTGGGGACGTGCAATTCGATATATAAACGCTGCATTGCATTGCACGTTAGCTAGTATAGTTTGATCTTAATCGCATGACGTTGAACCGCTTGCAAGAGCGCAATCTATGCATACAAGTTGATACAAAATATTATCAGTTGAAAAATGTTCAAAACTAAATTTGATGAAGAAAATAAAGTGTGGAGTGGACAGGATGTGCTTCCGACATATAATTCGAAAATATCCGTGGCGCAAGTTGTTTTAGCCACACTCAATACATATGGATCGAGAATAGCTCAAGTAATTGTTGATAAGTTAAAAAAATCGACGCAATTAAAGAAAATTATATCAAAATGATCGAAAATAAGCAAGTGATAACTGAGTTTTCCAAAAATTATTCAATTTTGTAGATAAATGATAACAACGGGATTCGAATGACATTTGATGAAATTCGCATTAAAACCGTTCGAGCCGCTCAAAACCTTCAAAAACGTGGATATGAACCAAGACAGGTATTCGGATTGATGGCGAAAAATTCACATCATGTTGCGCCAATTGTGTTTGCTTCGATAAGTATTGGCTGTCCAGTCAACACGCTTGATCCTTCATTTGGAAAAACCGAGCTTATTCATATGCTGAAAACGACAAAACCAACTCTAATGTTCTGCGATGTTGAGTCCCATGATCTTTTGAGAGAATGTTTAACGGAACTGGGAAATGATGCAAAAATATTCACATTCGGTGGTAGCAAAGACGAAGCCGAATCAGTGGAGAATTTATTTTCCGAAACACACAACGAAGACGATTTTCTGTAAGTGTGATTGCGAAAGCATTAATTGAAGGCAAACATTTAATTTGTTAAAAATTGCATGAAAACAGACCGGCGAGAGTCGATGGCGACAACGAAACAGCTATGATCATTTGCTCGTCTGGCACGACTGGACTATCAAAAGGTGCATTTTTGTTTGATAAATTTGCATTTTTAATTCGAATTCATCATGGTCATTGAATGATTCATTTATTTTTTCTTACAATTGTTAGGAGTTTGCTTGTCGCATGCAGCGTTGCTAGACTCAATGACGCAATTCAGTGTTATTGGTGTGAATGATGTGATGCTATGCTTCAGCTCGCTTTATTGGCTAAGTGGTTTGGTTATTTTATTAAAAGGTACATTGTGTGGCGCAACTCGTATTATAACAACTGAAGCCTATTCACCTGAATTACAACTTCGTATAGTTGAACAATACAAAGTAACGTTTGCAATGAATGCACCGTATCAATTAGTTTTAATGATGAAAAGTGATCAATTTACTAAAACCGATTTATCAAGCTTGAAATTACAAATGGTCGGTGGAAGCAAGGTACCGTTTCATGTACAAAGTGAAATGAATTTCAATCTTTCGAATGGAAATGTGCACGTCGGATATGGAATGAGCGAAATTGCTGGTATTGCATCTCTCGACTACCCGGGGCCGAGCGGAAAAGATTCAATTGGACGTTTGATCAATGGAATTCGTGTGAAAATTATTGACGATCAAGGTCAACGGTGTGGAGTCAACGTTGATGGAGAGATATGTCTCAAAGTGAATTATCGCTTCCTCGGATATTATGGCAATCAGAAGGCAACCGATGACCTATTTGATGATGAAGGTTTCCTTATGACCGGAGACATTGGCCACTTCGATGAAGATGGATATTTGTTTATTGTCGATCGGAAGAAGGACCTTTTGAAATATTGCAATTTTCAGATTTCTCCATCAGAGATCGATGCCTATTTGATCGAAACGCCTGGTATTAAATCGGCCTGTGTCGTTGGCATCCCTGATGACGTTGCTACTGATCTGCCAGCAGCAGTGATTGTACGGGCTAACGGGTCGAATATTTCAGAGGAAAAAGTTTTTGATTTGGTTGCAGGTAATTCGAAGCATTTTTCATTCAATGCACCAAATTCATAGATGGCTCCACTTTCAAAATTGTACTTTTCGAGTTTAATCAATTATTTTTGGTAAATATTCTGTTCTTTTTTACAATCAGATCACTTTGCGGACCATTGCAAACTTCGAGGCGGTGTTTATTTTGTTGACTCACTGCCAACAACACCTTCAGGAAAGGTTCTAAGAAGGAAAGTGAAAGAAATTGCTGTTTCTTCATTCAATTCACAAAACGCATTGTAATTGTGTGATACATTCTAACTGTACATAGTATATTATTACACAGTATGTTAACAAACATACTACAATCATTTATTAAATATTTGGTTTTTAAGTAATTTCAAAGAAAGATAAAATAAAATTGATTAATAACCTAATACTGAAGTTTACTAAACATTCAGTCATTTTTGGGCAGATAGTATCTGTTGAAACCGTTCGCATCTGTTCAAAATAACATACTTATTTGTTTTCGTTCAAGACATCGGGTGGAAGCTAAGAACGAAAACAACTTGAATGACAACTGTTGAAAATTTTTCGGTTATCGGTTTTTTGTTTATCATTCGTGTTTTCGTGTTTTTCGAGGAATAATAATCAATGCACATTGCACAATGCTTTTACTTGTTGTATTCTTCGAGGCAACGACCTTTGTACTCACAAATAAGATAATAATTTTGATAATGAATACACACCGAAATATAGAATATATAAAGTTATCGCCGATGACACTTATACGTTATACGCTAAGTTAATTTACATCTATTGATAAACGAACACAAAATGTTGCTACTTTCTTTGTACATTTATCACTAAATGACCTTTAGATGTCAATTGTTTGACGGTTGATTAACATTAGGTAATACTTTTTAAATATCAAATTCAAGTGTGTAACTATTTCATTTATAAATGACCCTCTGCAGTATCACTTGCAGTTTGGTTTCGACTGTTTCATGGTCTAGTATATTTTAAAAATCAATCATAATTTGTTTCTTTTCCTGAAAAGCACATACGAATTAAAAATGTTTCGAACAAAGTACGATGCAGATGCTAAAGAGTGGAGTGGTTGTGATCTTCCCCCGTTGTATAATCCAAAAGTATCACTAGCTCAAGTATTGCTAGACGCATTAACAGCTTATGGACCGAAAATCGCACAAGTACTTGACAAATCCCAAATCCAGAGTGATCAACAATCATATTGTTAGTAATTGCTCAAACTACCTTATTTTTATAGATAAACGATAACAATGGTGTCCAAATGACATTTGATGAAATTCGCATTAAAACCGTTCGAGCCGCTCAAAACCTTCAAAAACGTGGATATGAACCAAGACAGGTATTCGGATTGATGGCGAAAAATTCACATCATGTTGCGCCAATTGTGTTTGCTTCGATAAGTATTGGCTGCCCAATCAACACGCTTGATTCTTCATTTGGAAAAACCGAGCTTATTCATATGCTGAAAACGACAAAACCAACTCTAATGTTCTGCGATGTTGAGTCCCATGATCTTGTGAGAGAATGTTTAACGGAACTGGGAAATGATGCAAAAATATTCACATTCGATGGCAGCAAAGATGAAGACGAACCAGTGGAGAATTTATTTTCCGAAACTCACAACGAAGACGATTTTATGTAAGTGTGATTCAAGCTCGAGGATTTCATGTTGTATTCATTTCTATGAGAAAGTCATTTAAATATTCATGGATATTATTTCATAAAAATTACGTTAAAACAGACCCACGACAGTCGATGGTGAGAATGAAACTGCTATAATCGTTTGCTCGTCTGGCACAACTGGATTGTCGAAAGGTTTATTTTTATTTATTTTTTTGTAAAGTTCCATTTCGTTTTCAAATTTACTAAATTCTTTGATTTCAATTAAATTTATTTTTCCATGGATAGGAGTTTGTTTGTCTCATGCAGTGTTGATTGATGCCTTATCTTCGGTTCGTATTTCCCAGCTGAGTGATGTGCTGCTATGCTTTACTTCACTCTACTGGATAAGTGGCATCGGGATATTGCTGCGAGGAACAATGTGTGGAAACACTCGAATTATAACAATTGAAGCCTATTCACCAGAACTGCAGCTTCGATTAATCGAAAAATATAAAGTGACAACTACGATTAATGCACCGCATCAGATAGTGCTGATGTTAAAAAGTGATGAGCTTGCTAAAGCCGATTTATCGAGTTTAAAATTCTGTTTTGTTGGCGGAAGTAAAGTGCCTTTTCATGTGAAAACCGAAATGAGTTCTTTTCTTCCAAATGGAAACGTGTACATCGGCTATGGAATCAGTGAAATTGGTGGTCTTGTAGCACTCGATTTTCCCCAACCTAGCGGCAAAGATTGCGTTGGTCGATTAACCGTTGGAATCCGCGGTAAAATTATTGACGATCAAGGTCAACGGTGTGGAGTCAACGTTGATGGAGAAATATGTATCAAAGTGAATTATCGCATCCTTGGATATTATGGCAATCAGAAGGCAACCGATGACCTATTTGATGACGAAGGTTTTCTCATGACCGGAGACATTGGCCACTTCGATGAAGATGGATATTTGTTTATTGTCGATCGGAAGAAAGACATTTTGAAATATTGCAATTTTCAGATTTCTCCATCAGAGATCGATGCCTATTTGATCGAATCGTCTGGTATTGAATCGGCCTGCGTCGTTGGCATTCCTGATGACGTTGCTACTGATCTGCCAGCAGCAGTAGTTGTACGGGCTACCGGATCGAATATTTCAGAGAAAGAAGTTTTCGATTTGGTTGCAGGTAATTCGAAGCATTTTTCATTCAATGCACCAAATTCATAGATGGCTCCAATTTCAAAATTGTACTTTTCGAGTTTAATCATTTAATTTGGTAAATATTTTGTTCTTTTTTACAATCAGATCACTTTGCGGACCATTGCAAACTACGAGGCGGTGTTTATTTTGTTGATTCACTGCCAACAACACCTTCGGGAAAGGTTCTAAGAAGGAAAGTGAAAGAAACTGTAATTTCCTTATTCAAATCATACAAAGCATAGTTATATTGTATACAGCTGTCAAAAATCGATATTTTATTAATATGTTAATAAACAACATATTTTAATAATTAATAAAAATTTTGAAACACCATATTTATTAACGTTAATAAATATAGTGCATTTTATTAACATATTAATAATTATTAGTATGGTAAATTTTCGGTTATTAATATGGTGTAGATTTTATTAAAATGTTAATAACGATATTTTATTAGAATTTTAATAAAATCGACAATTTTTTTATTAGAATTTTAATAAAATGTGGTTATTAATATGGTGCCGATTTTATTAGAATTCTAATAAATTCGACAACATATTGGATTTCATCCGATTTTATCAACGGACGACATCATGTTCACATCAAAGTCTATTCAACACAGCGTTTAGATTAAGACAATCATTCATCACGACAAAATCTCAAAGAAAAACGAGTCTGGAGATATTCGACATGTTTTTTGTATGAAACTTTTC